GTGAAGATTTTTGTCTGAAAGGCTATGACATCGCAGTCAAAGCAGTTGCAAGGTTGGAGAAATCTTCATACCATCTCACATTTGTTGGTGCTCCTGCTGGAAAAGAAGATGAAGTTACAGAGCAGTTAGAGAGATGGGGAATTTCCCGCAGGCAACTGACTGTTCGGTGCTTTGACGAAAGTAGAGAATCCCTTGCCAAACTATTTTGTGAGATGGATTTAGTACTAATGCCTTCAAGAACCGAGGGATTTGGATTGACGGCCTTAGAAGCCATGTCTGGTGGCCTGCCAATACTTGTAAGCAGTAACTCTGGATTTGGGGAAGCACTCAAGCAAGTACCATTTGGCAACCAATTTGTTGTGGATTCAGAGGATCCTGAGAAGTGGGCAGAGGCAATTAGGGCTGTTCGAAAGAAGGATAGGAACTTAAGACTGGAAGAGGCCAAACACCTTCAAAAAATGTATGCCAGCAAGTTCAGCTGGAAGGAACAGTGTGATTCACTCTATGAAGCAATGTGTACTATCATGTCAAGTAAGATTTATTTATTTCTCCTTTAACTTTGATCCTGTCTAGTTGCACATTTCCTAATTTCAGGGTATGGAAACTTGATTTTGGGGCTATCATCTTCTGTCAGTAATATCAAGATTTTACTTGTCCAAATATATTTCCACCCACCAATTACCACTTGTAGGGTAGAACAGGTACAGTACAAGTTTGCTTACATCTTCATCAACTAGTGCATCAATCAATTTGAAGCTTCATCACACCCCTGAGCATTTGACCTTTTAAAGAATGGTCTGTTTAAACACCCCACCCAAATGCCAGATTGGATCTTCCATGCACTCGCAATAGAACATTTTACATGTACCTTTAAATACCTTCATACTAAAAGATAAAACACATTTATTCAGCTCTTAAGACTTGATAGTTTTGGTTCAAGTTCCCTACCCTAGCTACCCAGGCCAAGTTCAAATTCCCCATCCCCTGTGCATGGACAACAATGAAATGCTGGGGAGAGGGGCTGTTGAAGCTTCAAATTGATTATCACATGATGGAATTATAATAAATTACTCCTATTTTCCTAGAGATAAGGTTTCACTTGCCAGACTGTGGCAATGATTCTAAATAATTCTATTTAGTTTGCCCAACTGGGCTGGTGTAGAGAACAAGGCAAGTGCTAATTTTATACTCGGGGTATGTAGTACATGTATAGTTGGTAATTTAGCTTTTGTTAATGTAACACCTGCTTAACTTGTATATTTTCTAGTGGAATATTTTTATGTGCCTGTTCTTTACAGATTCCTCTCTAACCTTTTAAGATTTCTCTCTAACATTAATAGCATATATATTTTTTTGGCAGGATCCACTACTGATTTAAATTCGACCACAATCCCAGGAAGTCAGTTCACCTTAGTAAACCCTAATCAGGCCGATCAGGGTGCTGGACATTTGGCAAGCAATCCTGAAGGTATGCACTTTGTAAAATGTGTCAACTGGCACTGTGTATATTTTCTAGTGGAATATTTTTTGTGCCTGTTCTTAATTGATTCCTCTCTAACCTTTTTAGATTTCTCTCCAACATAAATAGCATGTATATTTTTTTGGCAGGATCGATTGCTGATTTAGATTCAACCACAATCCCAAGGAGTCAGTCGAACTTAGTAAACCCTAATCAGGCTGATCAGGGTGCTGGACATTTGGCAAGCAATCCTGAAGGTATGTGCTTTGTAAAATGCCTTGTGGCAGAGTTCTTCAACCATAACTAACTTAAAATTTATTATGTCACTTCCGAGTTTTCGCAGTTCAGTGACCTGGTACCAAAATTAGGCATGAGGATGAGGCTAGCTGCAAAGTCACTCTCATTAGCCAATGAATAAACCACCGTGAAAATTTCTCAGAATTCAGTGTGGAGGGTGTAAGTATTTGAGAGAAATGTTAAGTGAAGAGATGGCGGCAAAGGAAAAACAAAATGTAGAACGGTTTGATTTATGCAAGGAAGCTGCAGCAATGAAGCAGATCATAATTGCTTCTCTTGCCAAAGACTGCAAAAAACTGTTGGAGGAAAAATTACAAACAAGTGAGAGTATCAAAAATTCTTAATGCTCTGCAACAAAAGGAAATTGAAACCTATAAAATGTGAAATGAACTCAAAAAGCTGTAAACCTGTAATTTACGTGGTGGAAAATCTGTAGATTTGCTGTAATTTACGACACCAGGAGTGCAGAAAACTTATGGCCACCAGCCAGAAGGATGAACTGGTCAGTTCACTACCAGTGTGGATTACATATGTAACCTTGCAAATAGTAACAACTAAGGTTTTTCCATACTAGGAACTAATTAGATCAAATGACCATCACAAACTGTATAATAACCAAGCTTTAATAATTATTCCATCCAAAAGAAATACATTTATAATTCACAATCAGAACAAATGCAAATCAAGTCTTAATCTTGTAGCTAAATTCAAAAACTTCAATGTACACTTACTTCTGTGGCGGGTCGTTACAACAGTCTCACTTTACAGTTTAGCTGGCAGATTCTCCAGGTAAGCGGATTTAGAGAAAGAAAAAAATGATAACAAAATAACTTCTTTCTCACTTCGATTCCAATGAAAAACTGACTTGAAACTACAATATAACGCTTTAAATCAATCTGTAGAATTAATGTCAATCATAATTCTTGTCATAAAGTAAATCTATCAACAAGAGGCAACAACTATTTGATAAACAAAACATAGGAAAAGTGTGAAAGGAAAATCTTTGTGGTGTACTCTGTGAAATATTCACTTGAATGTTTACAATAAATATTTTGAATGTGTGACATGAGACTTTCCTTGAACTAGGAGTGTCATGCATTCCTCCTCTATAGGAAAACATAACATTGCCTTTTTTTACAACAAAATCTTATGAGATGGAATGAAATCAGAAAAAAAAGTTAAGCTTGGGGTTCAGATTTTACTTGTAGTAAATATTATATGCTAAGTTGTGTTTGCAATCCACTGACCGATTCCTTCTGGCTGGTGGAGTTTACGGCACACACTATCATTCCACAAATAACAGATTTTCATTATGTAAATAATAGCTTTCCATTTTGCTGATAAAAGATTTCAAGTTCGTTTTGTGAGCGAAAGATTTCCAATCCGTTTCATTCAGATTGTTTTGTAAATTACAGTAAACTTTTGCTATGGATCAGCAAGAAAAAACAACAATTTTAATCAGTTAAAAATGATGAGATAGAAGAAACTGAGGCCAAACTTGGTTAGGCTACATGCAAACAGTGAACGCAGAACTCTGGAAAGTTACTGAAGTCGTGCATCCAAGCATCCAAATTTTTTGGCACTAGAAATTTTCCCTAACTTGTTTGTAATTTCTCCTCCAACAGCTTTGCAGTCTTCAGTAGAGAGGTTCAGCTGGATGTTTCATTGCGGCAGCTTTCTTGCATAAACTGAACAGTTCTGCTTTTTTTCTTTCCTTTGCTGCCATCACTTAGCTGAATATTTCTCTCCCACAAATAATTTTTCACTCTCACTGAATTTTGTGAAAATTTCTCTTATTTTCACCACCATGGCACTTTGCTCTTTACACCAATTTAGAACTTGGCACTTGTCCTTGCGCAGTATGTTCAGTGCTAGATCACTGGATCACAAGAACTTGGAAGTGGCCTATCATTACTTACTTACTTACTCGTTAACCCACCTGATAACATAATAAAAAGCCATTAGTGACAATATATTTGTTACTATCTCATATTTTCCCCATATTTCTTCTCAAAAGTAAAAAAAACATTTGAACTGATAAAATGTAGAGATTTTGTTAAGTAAACTATTGAGTATATCCATATTTAGGAAAGTAATTTATCTGTTGGTCAAAACATCAAATCATGATCTGGAGAAATAATAACTTTGGTAACTGAGGCACATAACTATAATTGTTAGCTATAAGGTGCACCATTTTTGCAAGAAAAGTCTCTCCTCTCATAGAAAATAGATGCCAAACTTGGGGTGTGTCTTGTATCTGAGTATTTTGGTGAAACTGATTTGAAAAGTTCAAATTTTCTCGCTTTTATTTACAGTAAGAACCAGTAGTTTCTGTTCCAAAAGCAGGAAAATGCATCCCTGTAACTGAAGAATTTGAAACTTTTGGTGGGAAGCACACACTTGAATAATACATTACATCTGCTTTTTTCCACTTGTTTCCAACTTTCCAAATGCTTACACTAATTCAACCTCAAAATTGCAGATCCATCAGCCAAGCAGCCTTCTAGAAAGCGTAAACAGTCCATCTCTCCTGGTGTTCAAGCTCCTAAGCAATGTAGATTGGTGTTAGATGACAAAGAAGGTAAGATTTGAAATAATTACATAAATTTTTGTTCTTGATATTGTTTTGAGAATAAAAGCATTTTCCATCCATCTCCTTATGTCACTTTTTAATGTGTATTCACTCTTTTTCTGATGGACAGGTAGTCCTCAGAAACTTGAATCTGGTAATATCTGTTAAATACAGAAAATTCTAAATTACAGTACCACTCAGATATATGCTAACCAGAAAAATGTGCAGGAAATCACATGCAAGTGCAGACAAATAAAAATAGGTGTGACTAAATTTTGCGTGTGTGTGCATAAGCTTGACTCATCTGCCTCAGTACATCAAATCTAGGCCTTTTGTTTTCCATTATTGATGGTTAAGAGTTCAGGTTGAAGGGTTATTTAACTGAGAAAACTGTCTCTTACAATGATGTTTCCAGAATTATGAAAGGTCATACCTACCAATAGTCTAATAGTTTTATGTTTTTCTTTTTACACAGATCGTATTACCTTGGTGGTTAAAAGACTCCAAGCTGAATACAAAAGGAGGTCTTTGGTGAAGCCTCTACCCTGGAACAATACCCTTCAACTGCAACTTGACGACACCTACACCAGATTGAAATTTCTCTCTCGCAGAAAACGTGACTTCATGTTGGAAAATCTTGCCATCGACATCAATGACATGTTTGTGTTCAACAAAGGGGAGGATAGCATGGTTTTAATTGAAGGAAGTCCAGGAATCGGGAAAACAACATTTTGTCTTAACTTTGCAAATAAGTGGGCCAGAGAAAGATCTGCAGAAAACAGTCAATTGAGTATCAACTTTGAGTTAGTTCTTCTTTTAAAGTGCCGGGATTTTGAAGGAGATGTCATGGAAGCAATCTGTAATCAACTGCTTCCTGAAGATTGTGATGAAGAAATTAGGAACAATCTTATGGATTTCCTAAAAGACTTCCACAACCAAGAAAAAGTTTTGCTAATTTTGGATGGTTTGGATGAGTTGCCCACAAGGTCTAAATGCCATGTAGATAAATTACTTAACAGACAAATTCTCCCATTTTGTTTTGTGTTGGTGACATGCCGACAAGAGAGAGGAATTTCAGCTCGAAAGGAGTTTCAATTTGAAATTCATTTTCAAATTGAAGGGTTCACCAACAAAGCTGCCTCTGACTTTGTCATGAGATATTTTGAAAACATTTCCCCTACAAATGGCCAAAAACTGATGGCAGAAATTAAGGAAAATACTCTCCTCCAAGCCCTTCTAAATAACCCTTTAAATTTGCTTCTTCTGTGTGTTGTGTTTGAGGACTCTCAAGGAAAACTTCCTTCTTCCCGGACTGAACTTTATCAGATTATAGTCTGTTGTCTCTTGAGGAGATATTGTGCTAAGCACAAGTTGAAATCTCATCCTGATGACAGAATACTGCAGAAGCAGTTTGAAGAGAGCACACTTGCTTTGGGAGAGCTAGCGTGGAAGTGTCTTCTCCAAGATCGCCACAGTTTCTCTGAAGAAGAGTTAGCAAGCCTTGAAAGAAGAACTGATGGTCTAGTTGCCCGTTACATTGGTCTTGTATTCAAGGAGGCAAGTGTGAAGAAGATTAATCCCAGTGATGAATATTATTTTCTTCATAAAACTTTCCAAGAGTTTTTAGCTGCATCATATCTTGCACATAGTCTGCAGAAAGATGACATTAACATCTTCAGAGACTTTGCGTTGGGGTTCCATGACATTGTAACAAAATACCGGCAGGTGTTTCTGTTTGCAGTTGGGATACTAGAGCAAAATGATGTTTTGTTCAGACAAGTTGGTGAAGAACTTTTACAAGACTATGATGAGTGGAACTGGCTTCAGTGCTCAGAAGAAGAAGCAACATTCTTCACTGAATGCCTCAAGGAAAGTGGAAACTCAGAGGACATGGCATGTACTCTCTTTTCATTAATTCCACTTCCACAAGATATAGAGATCATTCACAATGTCCATCATTATTCTGAAAACTTTGTGCCTATTTTGAAAGTTTGCCAAGCATTTCCACAACTAAAACAACCAATCAACCTTTTCATAGCCGATGCCAATTTTCTTGAGGATTGTGAGGTGAAGACCATTACAGATGTCCTGGAATCTTCTTGTCACCTTGAGAATCTTGATTTTTCTGCTAGTGAAATGACAAAGGCACTAGCAGATGCTTTATTTGAAGGACTGTCCTCCAGCCCATCCTTAACACATCTTTCTCTCAATGTATCACATAGCATGGCTCCCAATCAAGCTTACATTATTGGCAAGGCATTGGCTGCAAGCAAGAATTTGAGAACAGTAGCAATGGCAATTGGCAGTGATTGGGATGAGACTTGGGCAAGTGCTCTTGAACAAGGATTAACAGCAGGAACACAGTTAAGAGGTGTCATCCTAACCATCTGTGGGACAATGAGTCAAACCACCTTACAAGCCCTGATACACCTGTTTAAAAACAAATCTTTAGTCTCTCTTTCCATTTTTCTAGCAGGAGATATGCATGATTCTGTAGCTTCTGCTATTAATGAAGGTCTAACTACAGCAGATTGTTTGGAATCATTTCAGCTTCTTATTTTTGGAAATTTGAGTTACTCTGGTGCAATTTCCCTTGAGAAGGCATGTTTTCAAAATCAGTCCTTGAAGACATTGGAAGTGATTGTTCGTGGAGAGGTCCCTGAGAACTGGTCTACTACTGTCCTCAGATTAATGCCATCTAAGACAGCATCACTGTCGTGTGATTTTCAACCTAGTATCTGCCACAAGGTAACAGAGACACAAATATATCATCTTATTAGTCGCATTTTTCCAAGTGGTAGATTCTTGTCTGGACAGTCCTTAACTTTGACCCTCTGGGGTGGACTTACTTGCAGTGGTGCAAAAGCCCTCCACAAAGTAATCAGAAGTTCTGGGATATCCAGTTTGACTCTTAATGTCCATGGCAAATTGGACAAAGAAGTTGTACTCTGTCTTGCCGAATACAAGAAACATACAAAGACACTATCCTCCCTGAAAGTCAACTTTTGTTGTTATCTCTCTGAAGAGGAAAAGTCTGTTTTTCATGATTTACCAAGTAATGGTCAAGAATTTGAAATTTCTAATGATTTGAATTTCCTCCAAGAGGAATCTTCATCATGTATTTCTGAATCCTCTGACTCCTACCATTTGAAATCAAGATCTGAAACCTGCAAGGTTAATCTAACTTCTAGCAGCACAAGTGAAGACTCAGCACTCTTGGAAAGATTACATAATGGTTTGCAAAATACTGTGCCATTGACAACTCTGAGCATCAGCATCAATTTTGACGCCAGCCTTAGTGGAAACTGGTCTTCTGGCTTGGCTACTGCCTTGGCTGAGAACACTTCAGTCACAACTTTCAATCTCACTTTAAACAACTATGATGACATAGGGGGTGACTGGGGATGTTGTCTAGGTGAAGCCATAGAAAGAAACACCTCAGTGACCACATTAAAGCTCACATTCAACAACTATGCTGATATGAGTGGTGACTGGGCCCAAGGTCTAGCTGATGGCTTAGCCAGGAACACATCAGTAACCACACACCATCTTGCAATCAATGATTTTGGCAACACAAGTGGAGATTGGGCATACACCCTTGGTGATGCTTATGCTAAAAACACAAACTTGACTTCACTTCATCTGAAGATCAACAACCATAGTTTAGACAGTGACGACTGGCTTGAAGGTTTGTGTAATAGTTTGTCAAGGAGTAATTCCATATCCAAGCTTCATTTCTACTTGAATGGTCAAGATGTGTTTCTAAAGAATGGAAGCCTGAGAGAAAATCTTAGCAAGTGGTCAGCAAAAACTTCATCAAAAACATCACTTCAACTGATGATAACCTTGTTTGGAGAAGATTTAAGTTAAGATTTCTCAAAGTAGAAGTTTTCTGAATCAGATGTGCAGCAGCAGACAAAGGAAATCCATTAATCATGGGTTCTCCTCTCAGAACTAAACCTTCTTGAGCAAAATTTAGAAAAATGTGAAGCCAAATTGTTACTTGCTGGCCAGACACAAAAGTTGGCCTTTTTTGGCCCTCTGCTTATAGAAACTATTGATTTAAAGGTTAGGACTATATCAAAAGTATATATATGTGACTTCATCCACAGATGCCTCTTAGTCATATCAAATTCCTGCAGTTTCCATAGCTACCTGTTCTTTAAGACAACAAATTATGTGAAGTGTAGTGTTCAATATTACAGCTGGCTGCCGGTAGCAGTAGGAACTTTTAGCACACTAGCCAGCAATTTTCACCGAAGAACTAGAATTTTATTAAAAAAACATGATGCTTATTGATTGTTCAACTGAAGTAAAAGTCACTGTCATGTTATGGTGAACATTTTATATCAGGCAATGAAGCAGCCAAGAAATGTTTAAAAGCTTTTTGGAAATGTAAACGGGTATAAGTATACTATAGGTACCCCATTTCATATAAATTTTTTAAAATTAAAAAAGGTTTCTCAAGGAAAAGAGAAATATATGTGCTGACTGCTCATTTATTATTGACAGCTGGGAAAAAAAATGAGTCTTGACAAAAGCCTACAAATTCATGCTAAAAGCTCAAAAATTATTTTGAACCCTGAAAGTGTAACATAACCACATGGTGTTATGTCCAAACTCAATAGAAGCTAAGCAACTGAATTTACACAAATTACCATTACAGCTGTAGGTGTACACCTTTTTCTTACTGTAGAACACCCCCCCCCCTTAGTCATATTAAATTCTTTCAGTTTCCATAGCTACCTGTCCTTTAAGACAACAAAGGGTGTAAAGTGTGACATAACCACTTGGTGTTGTGTCCAAACTCAACTAGTAGATAGGCAAGCTACTGCTGTGCTGAATATGTAGACTGCATTGGAAACATTTGCACCTGGTTCAAGAAGCAGTCATGTCACCCCCCCTCCTGTTGGAGAACAAATTCCTGTTAGGTTTACATACTCATTTAAGCTGGAAAAAGGAGTATCCTCCACCCTCCATCTCCAGATCACAACTTCCCCTGTATAGGATTCTACTCCTAACAGTTGAATTGCAACTATGCTCTTGCATGTTGGGTTAGAACATAATGGCAGCCTGAATTTCTCAAGCTGGAGTCATGCCTAGAACAATGAGCCACTACCTACTGATGTGGTCATTAAATTAAAAATATTCTGCTTACCACTACCCCCCTCCCCCATTTGTCTGACAACCGATGTGTGTTTTGAGATTAACCCTTTAACTCCCATGAGTGACCAAGACAGAATTTATCTTTACAATATCAATACAAAATCAAGAAGACAAGTGATGAGAACCAAGAAAAGTATCAACTAGGCGATTATAAGTTGATCCAATACCAAATTCTCTCAAGTGACATCAGAAGAATTATACAGCAGACAGTAAGGAGAATTACTTACAAGATCTTGGGAGTTAGAGGGCTATCAAGACATGTTCACCATGTAAAGGAGTTAAATAGTGTGAGGAACATGTGAGTACAGAAGTGCCAGGAATAGTCCATTTTACAGTTGTGTGCTTGGTTGCCAAGCCTTTGAACAGGAGTGAGGCTAAGGGTGACCTTGTTATGATACAAACCTTGCTGCTTTTGAAATATAAATTACTTTGTTATCATGCTAACTAGATTCTGGTCTCTAACACAACAAGGTCACCTTCAGCCTCACTCCAAATCAAAGGCTTGGCAACTAAGTACACAACTGTAAAATGGCCTATTACTGCACGTAACATGCTAATCCAACCTTTATGATGAATTGGCTCTAAAATAAAAGAAGCAGCAGTGTAATCCCATGTTCTTGACATTTAACTCTTTTTTTTTTTAAGGCACATTGAACTACTTTCTCAAAAGAGCAAAAAAACAAATTTTGGAGACATTGAGCAAAGTTTGTTGACAATAATCTTAATAGCTAATTTCTCTTAGACTAGGTTGACATAGCAGCATAGTGTATGTGTGTGCTCTGCGGATTCGGTGCGACCAAGAAGCAATCTGTTTCAGCTTGAATGAATGTTCTCCCCCAGGGGGGGGGTGTTAAAATGTTGCTATATATGTAAGGGAAAATCGCTGCTACCCCTTCTCCCCCCCCCCCCCCTCAAAGATTAGGCTGATTTGGATAATCTATGTCTTAGAGAAATTCGCATAAAAGCTCACTTTACCTCAGTTGTCCGGATTAAAAAGTGATTGATGCAGCTAGTCGCCTGTGCACCTCTGTGCTTGGGGTTTTTGACGTTTTCACATCTGAGTAATTGCGATCAGTTTATACAGGAGAGTCATTTTGGTACGAGAGGGACTGTAAAGTACTGCATGAAACGCGTCCTACAACACTCGTAACATCACGATGGCTCTCAAATTGAGGAAGCAGTAGTGTAAAACTATAGTCTGAAAGAGGATGGATTTAAGAATAAGAACGAAATTTGAAGATATGAACCCATTCCTGAGGCCACGTCCACTATCAAATGCCCTTCCCCCAATCCGCCTCCGCAATCAAAATAGCCGTGACAAGCGAATTTATATTTAGACTGGATCGACTACTCAAGTAACGCTTGCGCAGTAACCACAACGTAAACCAAGATGGCCGACCCTTCCCCCTAATATGATGAGGGACGTGATCACGTTCCTTCCTGGCTAGGATTTACTTAGATTCAACTGAAACCCAAGCTAAGGATGGCTACAGTCTGGGGGAACGAGGACGTAGCCTGCTACTTCACCACGAAGCATTCGTGGCGCGGAAAGTAAGTTAACACTTTTGCTCATTAGATCGATCGCCGCTGGCATGGAGGCTTGCTTATCGCGCGTTTCAACATTTCATATCCAGTTTTCTGACTCTTTTGCAAACCTATGTTCTCGTTATCACTTGCAGATACAAGAGGATCTTCTCCATTGGAACGAAAGGAATTACAACGTACAATCCGTCTAACCTCGAGGTCACAAATCAGGTATCCTCAAACCCCCATCTCCTTACCCCTGTTTGTAACAGTGTACCTCTTTTTCCGCAATGAGGTCATTTTGTTCCGGAGAAGCACTACAACGCAAATGGTAGAGAGTTAATTTTTTTTCAGCGTTAAGTCTCATAGACTGTCTCAAGATCTTTTCAGTTTCATTTACTACAAAAGTTAATAATCGCGGCGTCATCAAAATGTGAAATAGAAAGTCACTTTATTTTTTACAATGTTACTAATAAATCGGCTGATCATTTAAAAAATCGCGTTATTTTCCTATATTAATTATTCCATTGCACAGAAGAAAATTTTCAAAGATCAAAACTTTTTAATCAGTTTTGTTTTATGGCAATCAGTATTAGCAAATACGACGTACATGTAGAGTAAACTTCAGTCTTTGTATCCAGTATACAGTAGTTCTCATACATTATCACATCTTACAACAATGCCTCTTACAGCTTATAGAAAGTGAAACTGTTCTATTATTTCAATTTCAATTTCAAGTAACTCCATCCCAACATGATATGACCCAAGTTAATCTGGTGCAGCTTGATCAGGTCTTGGTGCAATTCACATGTAACGTAAGCCCTTTCAATTCCAGCAGTGATCACTGGGTAGTTTCTCTTTACAATAATGATACATTTTCTGGCAGAATGATGACGAGAAGTAAGAAAAACAATCAGGGAAAACTGTTAGTAAAAGTGGTGTGATCACTTGCCTCCCTTTATTGTGCCTCAGGTCTGATTCCCAGCCTGGTGTCAATGTGGGTAGAGGTTGTTGTTGGTTCTCATCCTTGTTCTAAGAGTTTTTGACTGGGTCCTTCAATTTTCCTCCATCCACAAAAATCAACCTTTCAAATTCCAATTCAACCAGTAACAGTGGACAAGAGGAGCTACCTCATGGAATGTTCACTGTGAAATCTCATCTCAATAACTTCAGTTTCTTTTAATCAGAAACTTACCCTTCTTTATTCATGTGCGCAATATGAGTCCTTCTTTTGACCAGCTACCTGTTTTTTTTTTCAGTGGGCATACAATGACTTCTGTAGAATTGCACCAAGTGCAAAGGCTCCTAGTGAGCTGATCATAACTATGAAGAAAAGTAAGTTGCAGAGAAATGAACATGCTAAGTGTATTATCCTGTGTAGAGTAAAAATTTTGCGGGTTATTAAATTTCAGGGAAAAAGAGTTCAAACTCTGCTAAAATTTCTACATGCAAGTCAAGCACTGATTTGTGTGGTATTCAGCTTCACTTGAATTTTCTCAAAAGTGCATGTTTGACTCATTTCATTATGAAAGTGGAAATGAATGTTTTTGGTTTATGTTCATGTTAAGTTCAGTCTTTAGACACGTTTACAAGAAGTACTGCACGTTTACATTGCCAAAATTTCAGCAATTTTAAATGTAACACTCTTTTCTACTACTGAAAAGGTCAATCTATAAAGTGTAGGTGTTATTTTGAGATGAGATTTACTTTGCACAGTGTAGTTAGAAGTAATAGTAAATAAAATTTTGTTCATTGTGTTTATTTTCAGCTGGTGCAAGTAAAAAGATCCAGAGTATGACATTCTCCACAGAGCACAGGGCTGATCTTTTGACAGAGGCTCTTGTAAGTTAAATGTAAGAGTAGTTCACTCTGATTTGGCTGTAATTTTTTCAAAGTGTAAACAATTTGTCTTATAGTAAATTTGAAATTGTCTGAATCATTTTTACAGAGATTTCGTAAAGAGTTCTCAGACTTCAAAGCAGGAAGTGAAGTGGTAAGTTTAAAGTCAAAGATGTTCTAGAATAAAATTTTTCTTTTTGGAGCTGTGAGTGTCCAGAACCCTTTGTTGGGTGTTGGGTTTGGGTTGTCAAGAAGGGGGGAGGAGGGGGAGGGGAGATGGAGTGGAAGGAAGGAGAGAGAAGGGAGGGTTATAATGAGTAGTACCTGAAAAATACATCAAGTTGATCTTATTTTGACTATTTTTCACATAGCAGTGGAATCCCTTTGATATGGTCACCAATGTGCAAAACAACCTGGCCATGTTATTGGGGTGTTACATGTTATTGGGGTGGTACTATGTTACTGTTACGTTTAATTTAATGACAACAGGTTGTAATTAGAAATATATGGCATTCACACCTCCTGAACTGTTCTCTTCATTAAAAAACCAGAATCTAGATATATGTGTAGTAACTATAAAAAAAATTTTTAAAACCTTGACTGCTAGCTTCTCCTTTCAAATTGTCTTATATTCCTTTTTATAAGAAACAGAGAGAAGTTAGGCTGTATGAAAAATCACTTGTAGTGTTTTAGAGAGCTCCCAGGTTGTAAATAATTTTCTGAAAATTATATGAAGTTATGTTGTGTGTGAGATTGTTTTAATTAATATGTAATTTCAGCGTTTCAATGGATACAAGTATCATTGGAGTGACACAAGGCTGCCGATAGTGTTAGAGGTAAAAGAAACACATTAGTTAATACTTGACTTAAACCTCTCACAGCTACACATTTTCTTTTAAATTAGTAATGAGAATTAGGTGCTAGATCAAGATAACATCTGCTAGATAAGTTTAAGTATTCTCATTACCTGTTAATTGGATAATGTATGAAGATTAGAGGGAGAAGTTACATGTTAATCAGTTCTGGGATTAAAAGAGTTAAACATTTTTTGTTGATGTAATGTTGCTTCCTCTTACTACCTGTAGGTTACACCTTGTTCTTTGGACCAAATTGATCCTACAACAAGAGAAAAGCTGTGTTCATATGATTACAAGGATTTGGAAGGTGTTGTGCAGGTCAGTGTAATGTAAAACAAGTAATTTAGTGTTAACAACTGGTTTGAAAACGTAAATTAGCCACTGTAAAGGGTAAAAAAGCTGACGTTTCGAGCGTTAGCCCTTCGTCAGAGCGATTAGACATAAAACAAACTTTTCATTGATATAATGTACATGTACCACTCCTGTACTTCAGTAGGGGTCTATGCTCAATTTAACCCTTTAACACCCAGATCAAATTTGTAATTCTCCTTACTGTCAACCATACAGTTCTTATAATGTTATTTCTGAGAATTTAGTATTGGATCAACTAATTATCCCCAAATTGATATATTTCTTTGTTCTCACCACTTGTCTGCTTGATATTGTATTGATACTGTAAGGAGAAATTCTGTTTTGGTCACTCATGGGAGTTAAAGGGTTAAGGATTTAGGTGCCAGGAAAAAAAACACAAAAAACAAAAGTAAACAAAAAATAAATTTTCTGTTCACAATCATTTATGCTTTCCTCACTGTAAGATTTAACCCAAAGCACTAGCAATTAAAATGTAATAGCTTGCCAGATGAACACCCAACACAGGCCACCAAATTACTGAATTTTACAGAAAATTTTCTGGACAAATCTTCTGGCCAAATTTTGTCTTCCTCCCTTGGCGACCAAAAATTTATGGGTTGCAGCTTGAAGCACATTCAGACTGAGGCATAGTACATGTAAAATTTGTTCACTAAAGATCCCTTTTTTTATTATTCTCTAGGTGTCAGACTATCCTGGTGGAATTGCCATTGTTTATGGTGGTTTCAGTAGACTTGTAAGTTGCATTGTATCTTAATAGTGACAATAATAGATATTGCAAATTTTTAATGCTGTGAGAATCTCTCCTGTAGTCTATTCTACAAGTTCAGTGGACAAGAAAGCTTTTCTCCATCTTTTTGATATTTTTGTTATTTTTCAGCATCTCTTTGCACTGGAACAGAGAGAAGAGTTAATGAAGAAAATGTCAGAATATGCAATGGCACATGTTGGAGTTGCAATCAAGTGCGTAGAGTTGATTTACATGTTATTGATAGCAAATTGGAAATTATGATTAATTATAACTAATCTTTGATGTCTCCCAAGAGTTGACAGAATTTAAACACCAAAGACAACCCTGTGTATTTTCCTGTTACAGTCATGAATTCTTCCTGCTACTGTTTTTCACTTTGCACCACACTGTATTTTCCAATGGATTGAATCTTGTTTTACAATTATTTCAGTATATGAATAAGTTTCTTTTAACACGAGTTGAAACTCTTTTACTGAAAGTAGGAGAAACCATAGCAGTAACATACATGTCTATCTTTGTCCTTTCTACAGACAGAGAAGTAAGCCTATAACATTTGAGCAGTTTCAAAGCCACAAATTTGGAAAATTCAGGTAAGTTGAATGTTACATTTTTAGTTAAGTTTATTACCACTTGCAAATGTTTGATTGAAAGTTTCACACACACCCTGTGAAGTGATGTGGAAATCCAAACTTCTTTCCACCTACTTTTCAGGCATTTTGATGAGATAGTATAATCACATTGATGAGTAGCACAATCACCATGCCCATAGGGGGTTGACTGCAAACTTTCAATGATTTCTTCTGTTTTACATTTTCATTGAAGCCAAATCTTTGCTTACAGGTAAAGTTGTTCTTATTGATTATAGTAAAAGCAAAAAATCAGAAAACCACATTGCTGTCTTTGAGAAAATACCCGTGAAAGATGAAAAATCGAGCCAATTTTGGTTGTAACGCGTAACACAATCTCAGTGGTAAAATTTTTTAAATACATTTTTCACTGAAAGAAAGCTTGTTTGAGCAAACAAATTACACCTAATGATAACACACAATAAACACTACATTTAAGCAAAACTTTGACATTTCAAGTTTATTAAAACGCATAGAAAAGATTTATCATTCTTAAGTATCCTTTTCAGAATAACAGGGTTTCAGAATTTGGAAGTACACCAAGTTGTTGTCCGCAGAATGACTGAACTGGAATCCTGTGGGAACAAAAACACATTAACCAAATTTATACTTGGGTTGAAGAATGGAAAAATCAGTCTAAAGGATTGACTATAAACGGAGAAATACAGTAAAACATTGACCTGACCAGGTTTTGTAAAACCTGATTGACGCAATAATATTTTTCATCAACTTACCTGCTCCAGGCTACTATACTTCAAACACGGCAAAGTCGGGGAAATCGATTACACTTCAATGCTCATAAGTTTCCTTGTCATTTCCAAGTTGTGGGTCCATATCTTTAGAAACTTGGCCAAAATATAAGACTTTGACCATTGTCACTTTTACCATGTTTTTTCCATATTGAGAACGGATGAGCACAAATCACATCCATGTCGGGAGTCTTCAAGCTCAATAATTTTTCTGAGATTTAGCCATCAGAAATATTGCTTCAAGTTTTCAATGATAATGACGAAAAGGAAGAAAACCTTTGAATGACATGGAGGTGAAAAAGCAGGTCCACATTTAAATCTAAAATATAATGAAAAGAATCGCAAAAAGAGAGCTGAATTTCCAATAGAAAAATCTGATTGATTTTCAAGTTGTAAAAAGAGGCAGAAAGTCAGTTTTTAGAGTGCCAGTTGATCTCACTAGGGAGATACTAGCCTCCATGTAATACAAAATGTTATTATTTCTACTTTTTACTGTGAAATTGATTATTTGTGAAAAAGACCACACCCACAAGGGATTATGGGTAAATACAAATTTGAATCAAATGTGACAAAAATAAAATAGTTTGAAATAAATCAGTTGTAATAGTAAATGTGAATTTAAAACAGACCTAAAAACATTTTGTCCCAAACTAGCAATTTTCACATTTTCCATATATGTTACGGAAGTGGGTATGGTGATTGTGCTACTCATCATTATGTACTAGTTGACTATATGACAAACAAATTTTTATCGGCACGCGTGAAAACAAAACCTTGATGGTGACAAAAATAATCTAAAGGATATCCGGCGCATCAGTAACAAATTTCCAGTTTTCACTTAACCTTCAGCTAAAGAGGGAATTCCCGTTGGGATGGACTTGTTATCTCATCCAGGTAAAAGGTAGATATCGATTTTTTTGAGAACTTGCCGACAGTAATTTTAAATCCCAAATGCATCACCAGAATGTTGAAAATAATAGGTGCGAAATTAACTAATTTTTCGCGCTGAGAGAGGCATTTAAGGTCAAATGAACAATGGATATTGCCATGACGCTCCTACATGCTATAAAAAGGTAACTGACTGAATAAGAATTATAAACCTCGATCATTCGCGATAAGTGTATCCACGAGTCACCAATTAAGTTAAAATGCCTGCTGTGAATTGTGCACATGTCTGAATCGAAAGACTGAAATGTATCGCCTTAATGTCACGTTTTCGCCACCGAAAAAGTTGAATAACAACGTGCGGGTTATCCACCGGTGCGGGTAATCCGTTGACATTTTTTTCAATGATATGCAAAATCGGCCGGTGAATGGGTAATCGGCCGTGCGGGTAATCGACCGGAAATTACGGTAATTGTGTTAACTCTCTAACAATTTCAATTATGCTGAGTTCTTTTCTTTTGTTTACAAAATGACTTCAGGTACAATTTTACTAAGTTTGAACAATTGTGGTGACCATTTCATTTGATAGATGATTTTTATGGTTAAGATTTAATTTATTCATAGTTTTTTAATCAATTCTTTACAGCCTAATATCAGTATCCACATTCTCCATACTCTTCTCTATACATTTCCTTTGGTACTGACAAGGAGAATTGTTTAACCCTTTAACTCCCATGAGTGACCAAGACAGAATTTCTCCTTACTATATCCACACAATATCATCAGATAAGTGATGAGAATAAAGAAAAATATCAATTGGGGTATAATTAGTTGATCCAATACTAAATTCTCTGAACTAACATAGAAAGAATTGTATAGTTGACAGTGAGGAAAATTACAAATTTGATCTGGGAGTTTAACAATCAAAGTTCCCTGCATGTAAGTTGGTGATCATTTCCCTTATGCAACATGATCTCAATTAATGATTCAGCAGTGTAACTGTAAGGAGAAATTAGATGCTGGTCACTCAGGGTATAATGGGTTAACCAAATCAATTTAATTTTTTGACAATGATATTAAAGGTAATATATGATGTGACTTTTTTTTACAGGATCCTGTTGTTCGCACATTGTGTTTATCAGAGACATGCATGATAGAAAGAGACCCTGCAACATACATTATTGTGAGCTGTCATCCCCTCTCTGATGTAAGTTTCAAATGTGAAGTTTCTTGTCACTTCTGTGATCTGGGCACAAATTCTCCCAACTGTTGAGCATATATTTTGTTGTTTGCCAGTAGGAGAATTTGGTTTTATATCCAGCCAGTATCCTTTGTTCACATTATTTCTCTATTATTATCAATATACGCGGCCAAATAGAAAATTGGCCTCTTCAAAACACACGCTCAGCGGGCCGCAAAAGACTGACAGCGGGCTGCTAATACATTATCAGCCCTACAGCTTTGTGATGATTCTGTTACCAGCATGGACATTTTTAAGGTTAACTTTGTGATATGCCTATTATTTATAGACGATTTTAAGCATTTTTTTCAGTAATTTTCAATAAGTTCACTGGACTGAGTTGATTCTTTAATAGCTTGTTCAATCAACACTTACATGATGATTTGAAGTGACTTTGAATTCGTCATTCACTTAGCTTGTATTATTAAAATTCTTATTCTTGATATCATTTGGCCTTGTTTATTGATAATAATGATAACTTTATCTCTATCTAGTGGATAGAGCAGTACATTTTCTTAACCTTTAGCTCCCAAAAGCGATGAACATGTAACTTCTCCCTATAATATCCATACATTATCCAACAAACAGGTGACGAGAATACTCAAATTTATCAGTTAGAAGTTGTTACCTATATCTAATACCAAATTCTCCTAACTGATTCACAAGGAAAAGTGTAGCATTTAGAGGGAAGAATGAGCAGTCAGATCTTGGGAGTTAAAGGGTTAACACTTATCTGCTGGATGGCGATTTATCCGTAGGATAGCATTACCCACGTTTTGAACAACTGGACACTGCTTGAGGTCATATGAAGATGGTTTGGAAGATCTACATGCTGACGTACATGTATAATTGTCAATTTTTCTTTTATTTTCAGGTATTTGCCATCATCCGTTCAAATGATAATCCTCAAATGTTCACCATAGAGTTTGTCCGTGGAGCAACAAAGAGGTTCATGTCAACTGAAAGGTAACCAGTCAAGAATATGTACAGTTGTTGTACATGTATGTAACTCTTTACTTCTAAGATCTTAACACTCCTTATCATTATTATTGGAAACTAGAATGAAAGAATTTGAACTTGTTAAATTTTCTTGCAGGGACTCGCTGTTGGCCAGTCTGCTTGATGGAGTTCGTGCCAGCGGCAACAGGGATGTCTGTGTCAAAATGAAACCTACCATTAGAGGTTTGCCACCATTCATAACATACATGTATAACTTGTACCTAAATTGTTCTCATGTGTAATGGTCCACTTGTGTGTTTTGGTGTGTAAATGTCTTTATGGTGGTGTGTAAATGCATGCATGTGTGTAATCAAACAAAAACATTAGCTACAGAAGGTGTCTGCAATTCCTACTGACTACAGATGCAAAACATGCATTCTGCACATCAGCACATGCAAATACTTGTAACAAAAAGTGTACACAAGAGAGGATAAATTGTGTGCACATTTATATGACACAGATTCAATCTGTTGGAACTCTTGAATTGTGCACTGAGATAAAGTGCACATAATAAGAAGGAAGACTTCCAACACTTTAAATTCCAATTTGATCTGGAAGCAGAAGACAAGAAGAGCCATCTAGAGGAAGTCCATCGTTAAATTCCATTCATTTATTTTTTACTCATTTCTTTATTCTAAATTAATATAAATACATGAAAATTTGTAGAATATTTATTATGAACTCTTCTGTTGTTCTTCTGTTGTGCAGGTTTTAGATTTGCACCAGTCATTTCAACTGTGGATGAGGAAGTTGAAAGTCAACATCTCAGATTTCTTGCAGTTCCTCCAGGTACATGCTGTCTTGTTTGCGAGCAAAAAAGTTATCCAAAACTGACTCAATATCATTCAATACCACTGATTTTAGATCAACTGCTGCCTAGAAAGTAAAAAAAATAGCTTTGGTACAAAATAAGCACTTATAAATTTAATTGGAGCTAACTATTAATTTTATCCCTAAATAATTATTTTATGACTTGTACATATGGAATCATGTAAGGTTGCCCAACAGGAAAGCCATCACTTTTTCCATGTACTGTTCAGTGTATTTTCCTGTGAATGTAACCTGACTTCCTCTCCTGACAAAATGTCTTTTTAATTTTTACTGATATTTTATCATGATAATCTTTTGTTAGCAAAATCTGTAATTAGTTTCAACTTCCCTCTTTTCTTTCATACAGCCACATTTGCAGAAGCAGTTGAAAGATTTAACAGCAATATTCCTTACAATGGATTGCTCCATGCAGTCACACAAGATGTAAGTACAGTGGGTCACTCAGTGTCACCTTTTGTCTCAGTCTCCTGTTTTGTGACCAACTCCTTTTTTTTTCCTAGTCTTAAACTGTCAATTGTTCGTATTCTCTGCAGGGGCTGTTTGCTGAAAACAAGGAAAAGCTCATAACAGGAGCAATCACTGCACTTTTAGCAATGGAAGGTGAGACACCCTCCCATGTGATGTGTATATTGTATTAAAAAATTTTTTTTCAATGAATACTTATTATTTTCTTAATCAAAATATAAAAAATTCCACTCAGTCCTTTCACCATTACATACCTTCTAAAGGTTACACTGTTTCAATGAACATGTTTTTACTAGGTGATCAGAACACCATCTCTGTAGAAGATTTAGAAGGACAGTTTCAAGCCATTCGCAGACTTGTTGCTTCAAAAGCAGGATTTGAAGCCTTCACAACTCTACCCAAGTAAGATTATCTTATCAACTTGTTTTGATATATTTTGGAACTTCTGAAACATATGTATTTTCTGAGAAATGAAGGAGCTAAAGAACCCTCACATGTACCGCAGCATTACATGCACTTGATGCAAGTGCAAATCCCAAGCACTGCGCACCTGCAATGTACTAACTTACATGTCACTACATGCGCATAAGTGTGAGAAAAATGCTTGCATGTTAAGTATGAAATGGGTGTAAAAAAACATGAAATCAATCAACTAGAACATTAAATTGCATGCACTGAGACAAAAGTGGTCATGACAAGACACAGATTGGATTCAAAATTCTTTGTACTGTACAAAGCTGAGTTGTTTGACTTTCTGTGCAGAAGTAGGGAAGAAACAATGATTTCAAACTGCATCAATTATGCTCCTATTTAAAATTTAGGATCAACTTTGTATGATTTTAAAGACAATGCATGTAGTAACTGCTATTCATGCACAGATAAATTCCAGTTATTATGATGATTGTACTTTATGGCATTTAATGTGTTACAGGTTCAGAGACAAGCTTGGAGTGAAGGTTGTAAAAGCTCTGAAAAGGAATGATGATGGAGTCACACATGCTGCTATTGATATGCTCTGTGCTTTGATGCAGGTAAGAGCAGATTAAGGTGTTATTTCCTACTGGCTGGGTTAAAAAAATAAGAGGAAAATGTCTGGGTCATGTGAATTTTTGGCAGGAAAATGTTTTTGTTCCATCTGTGATAACTATATAATTCTTTGAATTTATATTTTTTCAGCCCATGCACGACAATTATGACCTCAGACAGGAACAGATGAATAAGTCTTCACTTGTGTCATCCAGGAAATTCCTTGGCACATTGTTAGATATCTTCACTACACATGTAGTAAGTGCCATGAACTTTTCATCAGCCTCTACATGAGAATGCTATGAATTTCTGCCAATTGCCAGTTGGTCAAGCTGCTACCATGTCCAACCTCTATCCCTTATTTCCCCTTCTACAGTTCTCTTTCAAGTTTTCTTGGGGTAGACTCTCTTTCATTGGCCATCAGGAGTCCATTGCAGGGTGACTCTGGGCATTTCTGATGGCAGCAATCAGAGCACATGCCCTCTCATCCATCAGACTCTGCATGAACTTTTATCACAACTGTGATTTAACATTGAATTCTTTCCACAATAAACAGTTCTTCAAATTTCAGTACATTAAAAACCTTCCCCCAATGTAGTTGTCTTGATAAAGCCTTCATATTGTCAAAAATGGTAGCATTCTAACTCTTATTGTGTTATTTCTTTTTCAGAATAGAAGCACAGGGGCTCTTGTTGTTAGTTCACTTCTGGACTTCCTTACATTTGCATTGTGTCCACCATACAGGTACATCTAACATTTTTCAATCAGTTGCTACAAGCAGTATTTCTGCCCATAATCATATAACCATTACATTTTTCTCAAATATGATTGATGCCTCAGTTGGTTTTTTCCCCCTAATAATTCTGTAAAGTTGTAATTGGACAGTTAGCTGTAATTGAACACCTGTAATCAGACAATTAAAGCAGCCAATCAGACAGTGGCCACCCAGCTAAATCCACTAATCACAAAATTTATTACAATAATCATGGCAACAGCCACTTCCCTACAAAACTGGGAAATTTTTAAAATGGTGAAATTATTAATTTTACTCTAGGCAATGTTTTGGATATTAATGAATACTGAAAGCCCTTTCTCAAAGGAATGTTATTGTTTGTTTTCAGATATTGTTAGTAGTGGTTATGATTAATTGGCAGCAGGACTTAATGTTGTCCAATTCGGTCTGTAATCATACTCTTTATTAACAAATCCGACTCCTGCTTCACAGTTGTCACATTTTGTAATCACTGGTACAGTGTATGATTTCAGACCAAATTGGACTCCTCTCAGTCCTATTACCATTACTACTGTAGTCATTTAAGGACTCTTGTCTTGATTAATTCCCAACTATTTTTACTTGTCCTTTTTAGCGAAACCACAGAAGGAACACAGTTTGACACTTTGCTGGAAATGGTTGCAGACCTTGGGCGAAATATTTTTAGGCTTTTTCAGGTATATTCATGCAGAGTGTAATTCATTCAATGTTGGGGGAGATTATCACAATGATAATCTTGTCTCATGGCTAAAATAGAGAGTTTTGGACTGTGGTATACACATACATGTACCTCACAAATTTTGATCAGTGAACAATGATGGTGCTATCTCAGACCAACTAAAAGCTCTTAACACTATTTCAATCCTTTAGCATCCATCCATGGCAATTGTCAAAGGAGCTGGCATGGTTATGAAAGCTGTCATTGAGGTAAGTGTTAAAACTTTTGAGTATAAGATTGATTTGAAGATACTGTTCCTCTAAATGTAGCCTTGCTCACATTTTACATCTGAAAAGAACTTTGTTTTACAAATTTGTTGTTTAAGATGGAAACATGTAGAAAATATCACCCAGTCTGCGACTCTAAGAACTTATTGGCATGTAAATTATTACAGTACTGATTTAAATGGAGTTAATTGTTCAGAAAGTTATTAAGAAGGATGGAGTAAGACTGTCCCCTTCAACTATTTAAGTTTAAAGTTTTTGTAACATGTCTGCTACAGGAAGGAGATTCAGAGATTGCAGCGAAAATGCAGGATCTTGCTTTGGCAGAGGGAGCCCTTCCTAGGCATCTTCACACAGCCATGTACACACAAAGTACAGACAGTAGGCTACTCACAAACAGGTAAGATATGCAAAGAAAAATGTGATTCATTTGTCTCAAGAGTTGGACAATGATTAAACCTGGGTCCTCCACAAGGAATCTGACCTCTAACTTTCCATTCCCATGGTGAGATGCTCTTCTACTGAGCTAGCTTAAGAGAACTCCTTGTTGAGCCTGGCCATGTTAGTACATACACCACAGGTTTATATGTGACAAGTGTCCCACAAATAGTTAAGATTGGCAATTTGGCAGTTTATGGCCTACAATAGTGCACCAATGAATTTTCTGTAGCACTGCGACAGTGCTTCAGAGGGAAAAATTGGAAGGTCTGATGCTTAGATCCTTTGAAGGAACTCAGATTAAGACTAAGTATAAAGTTAATTATCACTGTGTTTGAATTTTAGAAACAACTTATGCTCAATGTTACCTTTGTTGCAAACAGTGCAAACCTGTAATATTTGACAGGGCAATCTTGCACATGATTCTTCTGTTGAAACTGCAGGGATATCAGAACAGGTGTTTTCGTGCTGGAATTCTTTAACCAATAGATATACTAGCCCCGTGCTCCTGTAACATTTGCACATACATTTGCCTGTTCATGCTGTTTGTGTTTAAAATAAAATTTCACTTTCAGAAATTCTTGATAATAAAATTTAGTTGAGTCATTTGAAAGTTCTTAGAAAACTAAACTACCATGTGTTGTTTCCAAAATATTGTGTTAAATTTGACAAAAAAACTATTTCTATCAAAACAAACTTACTATAACTTAATTTGAAGATGCATGTAAGTGTATATCACATATAACAGATATAACATTGTTTAAATAAAATTACTTGTCATAAATATATGTTTGTCCTTCTAAAGACACTCACCTTGTATGCCTACAGAAGTAAGTTGGGTAGGAAGTACTTGTATAATTATCTACTGTGCATGTGATATGGATTTTGCTTTGCAGTTTTTGCAAGTGAAAGTTTGTAGTTTGCAGTTTTTTTTTTAGTTGGTAATCTTAGAATTGGATCTTTCCTTTACTGTGCATTTTGAAATTTAAACCAGTATAGTTATAATGTATGAAAAACGCAGTTTTAGATCAAATGTACTGTTTATGTCTTATGAGTCTTAAGCTCAATGATTAGCATTCATTAACCTATAAGGAGAATTTTTTCTCCTAGATAAGAAGTTAGTTCAGTGTAGGTAACTCCCCAACATATAATATACTTTTACTATTGGGAAGAGAATAAGATTGTGAGAGTGATTTACATGTATCTTGTCCAAGAAAGTAACTCAGCTGTCATTATCAGAAACTGCACTCAGTTCTCTAAACATGACTCAGAGGCAGAGGCATCTCATGCAAAAAATTAACTCAATGATAACAATGATGCTGTATAATTTTTATCCAGCACCAATGTTATTGTTAAGTTGATTTTTATTTTGTTGAGAATTTCCTCCTGTTGAAGTGACTTGAAAACAAAAAATGTAGTTTCAACTCCTTTTTCTAATCCCATGACTCCATAGATTGAAATTATTTTTAAAATAATAAAACAGGAATGCCGTAAGGAACTGCACTCAAGCAATTCAATTAGATTAGTGGTCCAGACCGAAAACAGCACTTTCCAAGATAAGGCAGCGAAGCTATTTAACAATACCGGAATCTACTAGAAACTGTAAAGATTATAGAACCTTTTTAAGAATTTCAAGGAATTTTTTATGTAATAGAGTACAGAGCGATTAGTTAGTTTTACTTTAATTTCTATTCTGTTAATCCTACTTCTACTTTTAATTGCATATTGCATAATTTGTGAAATAACCTAATTTGATTTTTTTTTTTTAAATTTGATTTTTTTATTTTGATTGTAATTGACGCATTTTAACAGGGAAGAGCCACCTGGTGGATCTGTTAATTAACCATTATTATTATTATTATTATTATTATTACTATTATTATTATTATTATTATTATTATTGTTGTTATTATTATTATTATTATTATTATTATTAGTGTCCAATTTGTCCATATGCAATGTAATATAAACCCTGAATCAAATGGTAAGGTCACAAGAATAAAGTAAATAATCATAAACTGAAAAACCTCTTGACAAATTCTCCTTGTCAGCACCTTAGGAAATGTATAGAGAACAGTATGGAGAATATGCATACTGATCTTAGGGTGTAAAGATATCAAACATTGCCAATATTACTCATATTAGTTTATCCTGTGCTACGCTCTTCTTTTGATAATGTATTGGGGTTTTTTCACCTACAGGCAGCTCAGCAGACATTTGGTAACCCTGTGGGTGACTGGCCATCCCACTGCGATGGGTCTTCTGAAGAGGATCATGGTTAGAGTTTTCTTTATAGTGTAAATAGTCTGGGAACAGTGTCTCATTGGCCATATGGCAAAAGCTGGGACTTGCTGAGGAGCAAGTGCACAGTATTTTCTTGGTGAAAATTATAGCTGCTATCATCTTTGATTTTTAAAGCAATGGAAAGCTGGGGAGAGTAATAATTTTGTACCAAGTGGCTGAGCGACGGTCTAAAGGAAGGAGAGGGAGGGGTGGGGTAATAGGAATCGTCTTTTCCTACCCCCATAGTCCACTCCAACTATAAATCAAACATGGTTAATCGTATAAACGATCACGAACTAGTGACGCTAACTTGCCCAAACAAGACGCAGGCTTTAACAGGGTCATCTGTCCGCATGCGTCAATTATCTTTAAGTCTCGTTTCTGCCAAGATTAGTCTTAGTCCACGAGTAAATGTTCATTGTATGTAAACTGTACTTCATGTACAGAAAGCCTTAGTGACGAGCTTCTAATGTGATTTTACTTATGTCCATTTCAGCCTGCGGGTCTAATGAACTATCTTGAATCAGAGGAGAAGGTTAGATTTCTTTTGTTGAATATTGCATATGTTTAGTTTTAGATATTTGTTGTGTATGTAAATCATCACTGAAGATGTTGTGGTATGAGTTCTTTTTCCACCCCTTCAATTCCAAACCCTCGTCAATATTGTTTGTAATTCCCCTTACTCTCTGCTATACAATTCTTATGATATGGGTTTGAAGAATTTGGCATTGAATCAACTAATAATTCCCCAGTTGATATGTTTTTAAATCTCATCACTTGTTTACTTGACGCTGTGCTAATAGTGTGATGAGAGATCCTGTCTTGGTCACTCAAGGAATTGAAAAGGTTAAGAGAGGGAGTGGGAATGAATGAAATTTGCAACTTAATGTCACCATCATCTTTTTAAATACAGGTCCCAGAAGTGGAGTTAGATAAACTGCATGTCAGAGACAACGTCAAACTTGCTGAGGTAAACATAAAAATGTTTTTATACCAAGACAATATACCTATGTTTGAGATCTGACTTTGTTTGAGCTCTGATGTGAAGGCAAAAAAGATGTTATGATTTTTTTCATGAGTGTGCAACAAAGCAAAGAACAGCAAAGGAAAGAAAGTCTGTGACAGTCAAAATTGATGTTCTGCTACTGTGTTACTGATTTTTTTGCTGTGTGCTCAGCCATATACTACAGTAGGTTTATGTGACATTTTCATGTGTTTGAAATTTTTTTGTTTGGAATTGCTGTTTAAGGATTCTTCCAAACCCAAGAAACATCAGTACCTTGTGCAACTGGATGTTGTACTCACTCACTGGAGGACGAAGATGGGATTGAAGTCAAAAGAAGTAAGATTTAAATTCCGATTTCTTGTAGAACTTTCCTAAGTACTAACAATTATTGTTTCCCAGGTAGATCCTTGTGATTAAGTGTAAGAGGCTTAGGGGAAAGAGTGAGAGGGGATTGTTACACTGTGAATTAGAAAAATCGATGCAGTGGTTTCAATAAAAGCTGGTTAAAAGGCTCGTTTCTGGGTTTCGCCTTACGGCACAACCTCCTATTACAACATCAGCAGGCACTCGTGGAAAAAAGTTATCAAAACCTTGCAATGAAGTGGATGCTTGATGGCTGCAGAAGGTTAACGCTCAGTGATATTGGAGTGGTTGACAAAATTGCCCATAACAAGAGTGTAGGAGATGTACTCCATCGCACTGCAAAAAAAGGAGATGGTAGCCAGAGATGTGCTAGCATTGCACCAGAACGAGTAGTTGTACTTCATGTAGCTGTTTCCATCTATAAGCTAAAACCTTTTTGCAGTCACCCACTTCCACTAAGGCCATCCTAGCGTGTGTAGTTAGCAGCAAGGCAACAGAAGGAATGTGTACTTAAAGACCTACTTCTTGTGTCCACCTCTTTGCCAACTTTTTTGTCAAGAACCTAACAACTGCCATCTGCACAGGCCAAGGCCAAGGTCATCTTTATTCCCACCTCTTTTCTCTTCATCTCAGTCTTCATAACTGAGTACAGCAATTTGGAACTTGTGCTGTTCCTGTGACATAGTTCTGCTCTGCAAGCTTGAGTAATATTTACATAACATTTCTCTACAGACAAACCAGAAACCTGTCATTTTAAGAAAAAGAAGGCAAAGAATTAAGAGTGATGCAAACTGGGAACTTTTCTATTACAAGTAAGCGAGGAGAACCTTAACCCTTTAACTCCCAAGATCTCATCAGTAACTCTCCTTACTGTCTCCCATACAGTTCTTGTGATGTTAGTTTGGAGAATTTGGTATTGGATCAACTCATAATCCCCTAATTGATATATTTTTTTTATTCTCATCACTAGTCTGCTTGATATTATATTGATATTGTTAGGGGAAATTCTGTCTTGGTCACTCATGGGAGTGAAAGGGTTTATAGGTTTTCACTGAGTCCAACATTGACTGTGTTAAGAAAAATAAGGAAAACCATGTAAACTGCTTCTAAGTAACGACAGAAAGGTCGCAATAATTCAAGTCAACAGTTACATTACAGGGCGTTGTTTTCCTTCGCATTGTGAAAACAAGCTGGAAATGAAAGATGGCTAATACTGGAAAGCTCACGAGTGGAATATTTGTTACGAAACACAGAATATGACACCTAGCGCACATAAGAGTGTTTTCTTCGTTGGCTTAGAAAAGATAGATGTGATAATGATCGTAGTCATGTAACCTTTTCAAAATACGCAAATGAGACTGTGAAAAAAGCACACACAACACATACATTATGAACCCTGCATTTCTTTTCATAGGTTCAATCAAGATCATTCCATGCCTAATCTTATCTGGAACTACAAGGTAAGTTCTGAACACAAAGAATTTGTAGTTGCTGCAACGGATTAGTTCGTTTTTCTGGAAGTTTGTCTGACTGAATTGTAATTGTTGTTGTTTCAAAATGTTTCTTTTAGACGAGAGAAGAGTTGAGGGAAGCCTTAGAGGCAGAGATGAGGGCATTTGCTGTGGACAAGGTGCAGCATCCATTTTTTTGTTCTTGATCATCTCTTGTATGTGTCAAATATGTTAAATCCAGATACCACAGAAGTTAGAAAAGGTGAACTCTATGATGCAGTTACATAAGGAATTTTTCTAGGAGTCTTTTTTTGCACAGTGGTTGAGTATTTAATCCGTTGGGAGTGGTGGTCGAAGGATCACGTGAAAGTACTTTTGTACATGCAGCTCAAATGTGAGCGGCTTACGAAGTGATCATCTTGTTTTCATGAACTGCTACCTGTAATATTTGACGGTGTATGCCTCTGATGGTTGTACCGTTGAAACTACAGGGAAATTAAAACAGGAGTTTTTCGTGCGGGAAATCTGTACGCAATAGATCAATTCGCCCCGTGCTCCTGGGACACGTTAGAATAAAACTAGAGACACCTTGTACAACATTGTAAACATTACTGCATGAAAGTACTTCCCAGTAGCTTTCATTTGAATAGTCACGTGGAAACTATTAACAGGCTCAATAGCTACATGTAGAAACCACCTTGTTGGTTAGTTATGCTCTTAGCTTCTCCTTGAGCTTGGGCCATCAACGATTTCCTTTCTCCACCTCGTCCTGTTCTGGGCTAATCTTTCGAATGTAGTCGAGGTGTGGCCCCAATTCTTCATCTCAGCCTGAACGTCCCGCCGCCAAGTGTTTTTTGGGCCCTCTTTTTTCCGTTTGCCCTGGTGATTCCATTTCAAGGCTTGCCTAGTAACACCACCACCTTGAAGTACATGATAAAAGGTCCCACCTGAAAGGAGTACTTAGTCGCTTTCACTTGAATGGTCCCACTTGGATTTTGTTCACAGACTGAAGAGTTAGAGCCATCTTGTGCCGCATGATAAACATTACCAAATGAAAGAACTGCGCAGTAATTTCCAATTGATCAGTCACACACTTGGATTTCATCCGCCAACCCCCCTGTACAACAAATTAAACAGTGCGTCTTGAAAATACTGCTAACTACAAATAACTTTCATCTGAATCGTATTGTATCATTAAGGATATATTTTCTAATCTCTCAATGACTCAGGATCTTGGTTCAAATCACGTCATCTCTTGGAATCACCAAGAATTTGAAGTGAGATACGAGTGTCTTAGTGAAGAGATCAAAATTGGAGACTACTACCTCAGACTGCTTCTCGAAGAAGAGGAAGGAAAAACTATGATCCACAATTCGTAAGTAACACACTGATACTTGATTAAACCCTAAAAGTACAGTTGCTCTTGACTGCCAGGGGTTCTTTTTGTTTCTGTAACATGGAGTTAAAAAAGTAGTTTTTTAGGGTACCCCCGTAAGTGTTCGTCACGTTTTTTTGGCTTGAAAATTCGCTGTTACCTAGTTGTACTCTTGACTGGAGACAGGTACTCTAAGAGTAAAGTGTTTTACTCAAGAATACAAAGTAATTGTCCAGCCAGAGCGCAAATCTGGAACTTTCAAACTAGATTCCGTTCCATTGACAACTAGGCTACTCGCCTGCACCTTAACATAGTGTTTATATAGTACATTGTTTGCTTTAAGCTAAAGCATGTCCTCTTGTCCTCTTTGTTGTTTTCAGGTTGGAGTTCTTCAATGATCTTTACCACAGATTTCTTCTCACTCTGAAGCCTGCCATGAAAGCCATGTGCTTACAGGTAAGTAACAATTATTCTGGTGAAAGGAACGCTTCTCGCCGGTGTAATCGACTCATTTATTAGCTTTGCTTCCTTAACGTGTATAAAAATACAAGAGGTCAAGTTACGACAGTTTTATTGGTTTTTTTTTTTCTGGCTGAGTCTAACTATGATCTGCGCACACGTGTGAGACGGCAGGAAAATTGAAGAAGAGCCAACGAGAAGACGATTTCGAGATTTTTAGTTGCACTATCTTATCTTTGCTACAACGTTGTGTTCCGGAACAAAATTGTAACTTATCATAAATTAATGTCTACAGTCAATTGAAATAACAATGAAAATGAACGTTACACTATTGTATGTTTGCTAATTCGATGACAAAATGTTATACTTACAATTTGTCTTCCAATCCCTTGTCCCTGCCAAATTTCGTTTCGATTCAGACTTGCTTCCGTAATTCAGTCTTTCTGATCTCCTTTTAGAAGGTTTCTAGCGTCATATCTCCAAGACGAGGCAAATATTTTTGTAACTACGCAAAACAATGCAAATTATACGCACGAAGTGCAGATTAAAGTGGTTGAGACTTAAGTAAGAGTTGTCGTCTCTTAGATAACTACAACTAGACAATAACAATGCGCAGTAAATCAAAAGCAGTCCAATAGTAGATTACATTGGAAGCTGAGTTGAAAATTGATGTAATTGTTGTGAACTAAATTTGCATCTCGAAAATAAATGTTGTGACCATGATTCTCGTAAAAAAGTTTTGTGACCATGGGTAAAACGATTTGTCCTCTTTATTCCTTTTGTCAGGCCATGACCAAGGTATACAGCAAATGCTACGATGAAATTGGTGCCTTCAATGACACGCGATACATCGTTGGAATGCTTGAGAAGGTAGTTTCATTTGCTCTCACGTTAAGGGACTATAAAACTGTTTTCTTTGTAGCATTATTGCGGTCATGTAATTTTACTTCACTTGAACGATACTGAGCTACGTCGACAAGTCTCAATGATATTTTACACTAGTGAAAGCTTTTAATTTTTTTAAAAAATATGTATTTCGAGGTGCTGACGTTGGCGAATGGTGTTTCTTTTACAGACAACAGACAGATTGGAGAGAGATCGCCTTATACTCTTTTTGAATGCACTGATCAAAAACAAGGTAATCTAAATTAAGAGAGATGAAATATCTCAATTGCTGCGAGCGTCAAATCGCTACAGTACACGTTGATAGTGGAAAAAATGATGACTCGAACTAAAATCTCAGTGCTTTTTCAAAGAATTCTCAAGCCATGAAGAGTCTTTCTTCTTTATCCAGTGTCTCTGTTACGTTGTGCGTCACTGATTTAAAACGATGTTTGTTTCTTGATGCAGAAAAATGTGAAAGAGATGATGGATGTGAATGGAATCAGAGTTCTTGTGGATCTTCTTACACTGGCCCATCTTCACACTTCAAGAGCTGTAGTGCCACTGCAGGTAATGTCACTAGAGCACTGGTCGCAAATGATGATCCTAAAATGAAGTAGCTAAGTTAGGCCGGGAACACCTCTGTTATCACTGCGTGATGTGTATCGTCCTCTTGCTAATTATAATTTTCTGTTTGTATTAAAGAGTAATCTGCTTGAGGCATCTCCCGAAATGATGCAGCGTGACAGTGAGAAAGAGTGGTACTATGGCAATAAGGAGAAAGAGAGGCTGGGGCCATTCAGCTTTAAAGAGGTAAGTTTTAAGGCTTGATTCTTGAGGTAGGTGTTACAATAACAGACTGACTGACTGACTGACTGACAAATTGACAAACAGAGAGTGACCGACTGACTGACAGACTGATTGGGTAATTAAGTATTATCAACTGAGTCGATGACGTAAATGAATTGACCATCGCTCTGACGAAGGGCTAACGCTCGAAACGTCAGATAGACTACCTGTACAACTAGATGGGTGCGGATTAGCGAACAATTCGGTAAACGGATCTAAGAACATCAGACAGAGACAACAAGTAAATACCTGTTAATCAGAAGTTGTCTCCCTCTGAAACTTTTCTTCCTCAAGTGGTACGTACTAACCTGTCCCTGCTAACTCGTCAGTGTGTTTAGGAAGGAGAATGTTATGGTTTTTTTCGTTAAGACGTACGCTGAACGTACGAGCAGACAGAACCGGACGGATTTACGGTCATGACGTCATAACAAGGTCATGTTGGGCTCATGTAGCGCCCTTGCCATGTTAGAACGCTACCAATATTGCTGCTTTCTATTTTCCCAGATGAAGGATATGTCAGCTGAAGGAATTCTCCGTCCTGAAACAAAGTGCTGGGCTCAGGGTATGGATGGATGGAGACCCCTGCAGAGTATTCCGCAGCTCAAGTGGTATCTACTGGCAACAGGCAGTGCAGTAATGAATGAAACAGACCTGGCTGTCTTGATCTTGAACATGCTGATCAAGATTTGTGAATTTTACCCCAACAGGTACAAAATGATAGTGAAATCTCTATTCAGGGAACTTCCCATCACTAGAAAAAGTGTCCCTATGAACAGAGGTGTCCCTTCTGGACATCAGTGCCTTTTACTTGATACAACCAAGATAAAGCTTACATTTTGTGAAATAATTCAAAGAGTACTCCAACATGGTGTTACGGAGTGTGTTTGTAAAGTGAAATTTCGCACTAGTGGGAAGTAAAGATGCCACATCATTCATTTGTTCATCTCTTTTTTTTTTAACCAGAGATGTTGATGGTGCCATAGTGCGGCCTCTCCCAAGAGCGAAGAGAATGTTGTCAGAAGCAACATGTTTACCCCATTTAGTTCAGGTATTGTGTCTTCTACAAGGGAAAAATACTTGACAAATAGTCAAAGAAAGTCCATGTTGGTATTCGTCTGTTAACAGCCGAAATAAATTTTAACGTGTTTTGCGGGTTATTAGGAAAAAGTTAAGCCGTTTGTAGCAAAACAGCGTTCCAACCATCTTTGATGTAGAGCGAATGGACGAAGGACTAACGCTCGAAACGTTAGTTTAAAAAACTCTTTACAATGGCCAATTTACACTATCAACTCAGTTGATGAAACCAAATTTCCTTCTGATACTCCCCACTGACGCAGCACCACAGTTTCTTGACATAGTTACCGCCTTTATTCACCTTTGATTTTGCTAAACATTAAATTTAAACCTTTTCCTTTTAGCTATCACCAGTAAACATTCGTTTATAGAAGAGACTTACATAGAAATATCGAGGTCCACGAAGTATACGTTCCTCGGGATAACACTTTTGGATTTATGCTGGTCCATAAATTTATTTTTCTTGTTACCTTCTTTCTACAGCTTTTGTTGACCTTTGATCCTATCATTGTGGAAAAAGTGGCCATTCTTCTTCTAAATATGATGGTGGTAAGTATCCTTGGTAAGGCAGCTTTTTTGAACGGTGGCACAGTTGTTTTAATTGTTGTAGCTATGCGAGGCTCACCGCCATAACCTGAGAATTCACATCATGCAAAATTGAAAAATTGCACAGTTGGTAACGTTTGTGGATGGACTAGCGACTTTACAGTACAACTTGAAATCCTCTCGGTGGGTGGTCACTACTCACTAGAAGTCGTATAACTCATTCCCAGTCGTATAACTCATTCCCAGTCGTGTAACTCATTCCCAGTCGTATAACTCATTCCCAGTCGTATAACTCATTCCCAGGTCCCAGCAGTGTGTGAGAAAAACATATTCTACTTATTCCGTTTCACTCAGCCAATGGATGAAAACAGTTGGCACAACACGAGACAACAATGAATTGTTATATACTTGTTTCAATCCTTTACTTTCTGTTGCTTTAGGACAACCCCATCCTTCCACGATTGTATCTTACTGGAGTGTTCTTCTTTATAATGATGTACACTGGGTCAAATGTTCTCCCCATTGGAAGGTAATTTTTTTTTAACAGCAAGCTATGGTAAAGTTTCCAAAGGAAAAACCTTCACTATATCAATATTCATTTGAAACAATCAGTCGCATTGTGGTTAACTGGCGTTAAAGACTTCTTCGGTGCAAGGGCTGTTATCCTCGTGGGGTGGCGAGGTTTTTTTTCCATCGGGCTTTTCTAACAGCTGAGGAATTTTATCGTTACCGCAACAAAAAGCTTTCGCCGTCTAGCCTCTTTTTGAAGTGGTGCAGTTTTCGTAACTTAACAGAAGAAATATTCCCAGAAAAATAAACAATTTAAGAGAGTAAATTGTTGCAAAATGAAACTTTGGTGATTGTAGATGCATAATCGCAACGCAGGAAAGTTTCTGTATCCAGGCAATGTGCTTAACTTACCATTTTTCTTTGTTGCTTCTTAGATTTTTGAAAGAAGTACACACTAAACAGGCCTTCAGATCTGAAGAGGTAAGGAGGAAAACTGAAATATGGGAAGCTTTTTAACGGGAGAAGCCATATACGTAGTTCCAATCTCGCCTTATAATTCACAGTTTTCAAGCAGTTGTTATTTTCTTGGTCCGATTCTTAGTCTCATGAGTCATTTAATTCTTCTTGCAGAGTCAACAGTCAGATTTGTTCCAGAGGAGCATAATCGGGCCCATTCTCCCGGAGGCCATGGTCTGTTATCTGGAAAATCATGGTGGGTTGCAGTTTCATGTGACTTACACTGCAATCGAATCAACCAATGTCGATTTTTGACTGGAATAACAGCTAAAGGTTTTTAGAGAAAGATCAAAAACGCCAATAATGAATAGAGCCCAATTCGATTGCGTTTTGTAAAAGCAAAGTAATCCTAAAGGCATTGAAATTAGGGGGAAATATGACGAGAAGTCAATGAAAGGTTAATGAGTAAAAAGGCGGGAAAATGTGAATAGCCAAGTCGCGGTTGGTTAAGCTTCGCATCTGATTGGTCGAGAAGACGGCTTAAGATTTGTGAACCAATCACAGAACGAAACCAGCGCCATCCCGAATTCCTACAATACTCAATCGAGAAAAATATCAGAGAAAAATAGTAAAAAAACTTCAAAAGTTTGACAACATGATAAATATTCAAGTGTTGGGAAGGATCAGGGACTTGAATTATGGTTATCCACGACTGAAACTGCGTCAGATAGATTTATAGACGCTCTATTGACATTCAGGTCCTGACAAGTTTGCTGAGATTTTCCTTGGCGAGTTCGACACACCAGAAGCTATTTGGAACAGTGAAATGAGGTAAGAAAGAACTTGGGTTTACTGTGCGATGACCTCAATCACAACTTTATTGCATTTGTTTATGTCCGGTAAGGTTTGTGTACTGTTTATGTCATCTTCAAAATTAATTGAAATAAATAACGTTTTGACCAGTGGGAGCAAAGAACCCCTGAACTTTGCCTCCCTCCCAACATATGGCTTCGTAGCTCAGTCGTTATTAGTACTCACTCAGTATCTGTGAGTCCCTAGCGTTCAATCAGTAGGGACCTTAATCAGTCAGGACTGTAACGCCAAGGAAGACTTCGATTAAGAAATGAACTTCTGCCTTTAATTAAATAAGGATGTGTCTTTTTTTTTTCCATGTTCGCGTTACCGTCGCCGTTGTGGTTTGGTTTAGGTCCCCAAATATCAATGGGATAAATCTCTTTTAGGCGGCTGATGATAGAGAAGATTGCTACTCACTTAGCGGACTTTTCACCAAGATTACAAAGCAACACAAGGGCCTTGTACCAGGTAATTTTGCATCGTGCTTTGAAATGAATTGCTTGCAGTCTATGTCGGTTCTTTCCTTCCGTAACCTTCCTCGTTCTCTTTTGTGTGTTACTACATCGTTGGGAGATTCTTCCATACAAAACTGTTCTACGCTGTTGCATTTGATGTGAGTGTAAAATACGTAACTGCGTTTCAAACGAATACTTGAAAATTATTATTTTTTGATTAGTCGTCGAAACTTTGAAAAGTTGTATCAGAAAGCTTTATTAATATAGAAAGTGAAAAACTTTCTTAACGCTTTCAATGGATTTAGTGCGTTTTTTTGCACCAGTGGAGACTTGATTAACGGACAAGAAAAAAAAAAGATACCTGAAAAGTCAAAATCTATCCACGGAGATGATTTAATCCCAAGTATAAAACAATTTCTTGTTTGTTTGGACAAGACCTGTGGGTAGCCTACTTCTTCTTCTACTTGTTTACCTTATGTCGTTTTTATCCGCAGTATTGTCCTATCCCAGTCATATCCTATCCTCAACTGGAGAATGAACTGTTCTGTAATATCTTCTATCTGAGGCATCTGTGCGACACAGAAAAGTTTCCTGATTGGCCAATCAGAGAACCGGTAAGATACTGTACTTTTCAAACCAACTTCCAATTGGCTTTGCTTTGTAACTGGTTCAAAAGCGCTTGCGCCACCGTCAAAGCCAATGAAACGTGTAGACGGAACAGATTGTCACGTGGTCGCATCTTGTTTCCGCGCTTCGCCGCTGGTCACGCTTGTTTACCTCGAGTTGTCATAACTCATACTATCGCTCAGTTTTTATATCATTTTCTGTTTTATTCTCTCTGGATCTAACTTCAATTTTTAAATGATACTTGTACCCAACGTAAGATTCTTGTCCTATTTTGCTTTCAGTTTCTTAAATTTGCCTTATATGATGTAAACATTGTGTGGTAATAATTTTCCTTCTCTAGGACAAACTGAACGTTCTCTGTTTTTCTTTTGACACTCTTGTTTTTGTAGATTCGGCTGCTCAAGGACATTCTAGAAGCGTGGAAAAAGGAAGTGGAAAAGAAGCCTTCGACATTGACGGTAGATGAAGCATATGACGTTCTGAAAGTCAAAAGAGACCCTTCAGGGTAGGTACAGACACTATGTGAAACATAGCATGCAGTAGCACGTGAAAGTACCGCTAAGTAGCTTTCAGTGATTGGTCACATACTAGAGTTTTCCCCTCAGGCTTAAGAGTGGCTCGCTACAACTTAGAACTGCCTCTTACAGCATAATTCAGAGCTTCCTTTGAAACACTTTTCTTAGGCTTCTATGTGAATGGTCACACATTAGAGATTTATCCACTGACTCTAACGTTAATCGTACGTCTACCTTCTGCTGCATAATAAATAGTACCTCATGAAAGTACCACTCAGTGGCTTTACCATGAAAGGTCACATACCGCGGATTTCATACCCAGACTTAAAAATTAGAATCACCTTGTAAGGTTTAGGAAACAGCCCTTCATAAAGGGCTTCAGTGGCCTTCATTTTAATGGTCAAACTTAGGGTCTGGTAGCCAATCCAGAGAAGACAGTACAGAGCTTATACAGTGAAATGGAAACAGCTCTTTGTTCTTATGAGCTACAACCTGTCATATTTGACAGTGCAATCCTTCTGATGGTTGTTCTGTTGAAACCGCAGGGATACCAATACGGGAGTTTTCGTGCTAGAATTCTTTAACCAATAGATACACTAGCCCCGTGCTCCTTGTACATTTTATCTCCTCAGTTACGAATGTGATGTGTTCATAAGGCGTGAAAACAAAATTGCTATAAAGTATCCTGTAACTGCATATCCCACTGCGCGTTTCGAGATTACGCGACTTATCAGATCGCCATCGTAGATTCTAATCCGGCCTTATGATTGGTCCATGCCTCATTTGCCGGCATATCAAATCCTGCCCTCTGGTTGGTTATGGGCTATAGTCCTATTACTAAAGCTACTTTATTTTCCCTACAGACTTGTCGATGAGGCGAAAGTTAGAAAAGCTTACTTTAAAATGGCGCAGAGGTACCATCCAGATAAGAATCCAGAAGGAAGGGTAAGACTTTACCGTGTGTAACATAAAAATGTCAGCTTAAAGAAAGTGGGAGTTCTTTGACCCACGTGGGTGTCAAAACGAAGATCATCCTTTTTTATTTAAAAAAGAGCAAAAGAAAAAAAAAGAAGAAAGAAAGTAGTTACGTAGCGATGTTTTGTATCATCTTCAGGGCATGAAAGAATTAGGATGAAATAAAAAAAAGTATTGAATAATAGTGCGCCAATGTCGTGGAAGCCACAATGGCCCATCGGTTAGCGCGCAGGTCTGTGGATCGAGAGGTTTGGGTACGAAACCTGGTTTGGGGCATTATGTTGTGTTCCTTGGAAAAACACTTTCCTCTTACAGTGCCCCTCTTAACTTAAGAGTATAAATGGGTACTGATGAATTGTCAGGGAAATCTGACGAAATGGTGGGAGAAAACGTGCTATTGAATAGCATCCCATACAGGGGGGAGTGGTGATACTCCTAGTTTGCTTTATGCCTTATTCTGTTATGAGTAAGGCAGAGAAATTTACAATTTCAACTCAGTTGATAAACACCAAGTTATCTTGTAAACTCCACACCACAATTTCTTTAAAAATTAACCCCTTTTAGTTTTAGAACTCTTTACGGTGACCAATTTACGTTATCAACTCAGTTGATAAAACCAAATTATCCAGGAGTATTTCGTTGTTTAATTTCCCTTGTTCTTTTGTAGGACATCTTTGAGAAAGTGAACAAGGCTTACGAGTTCCTCTGTTCCAAATCCTCTAAACAAGTTCAAGGCCCAGATCCGCATAATATTGTACTTATTCTCAAGGCTCAGTCCATTTTATTCAAGCGACACAAAGATGGTAGGGTTTTGAACTTAGTCACGCTCTCTGTAACTGCCTCTTTTACTAGTAGTTCCTCGCAGACTAAAGAAAACGTTAATTTTTGTCTCTGAAATAAGTCAAGGACAGCTAAAATTGTTATAATCTCAAGAAACTACATGCTTTGGCTCTCCAAATCGGTGTAATTTAGGAGTGGTTTTCAAAAAAAGGGGTATTTCTATTTGGCACCGGAGATATTTTTTCGTAAGGCTCTAAGCTGCACAAAAGCTTTATTTCTTGGGGGAAATTGGAACTAATCGACAGATGGATTGGTTATTTAACGCAAATAAATAATCTTACATCTATTATATCTCAGATTTTTCTAAGTTTAGTTTTATTTTAAGGCACGAATAAAATGAGACACTAACTTATACGTCATTCTTTCGCCTGACATTTTGAAAGCAGCCGGTCGAAGTTGTGTATTTAACCGGTGCCTGGCCCCTCATGAAACCTCTATGAGACTTGAGAAAGAGGAAAACCAATTAGTTTAGATGAAATTCAACTCAACTCATAGATTACATGTTGCTATGCGTATGTTCAATAACAGAGAGTGTCACTGATGTCTTCACCACAGTTTGACGTTCACTTTTACCTTTTATCGTTCAGACCCCCGGTTTTGTTTGTGGTGACGTCATTTATGCGTCTGTCCTCCTATTGGTCAGAAGTAAGAACCAATCAAAAAATGTGCATAATTCAGTTTATCATATAAATTGGGTTATTTTCTTGCAGACCTTCAGCCATATAAATACGCCGGCTACCCGATGTTGATTAAGACCATCAGACTCGAGACCGTGGACAGCAGTTTGTTTTCAAAGTCAGCACCGCTTCTTACAGCTGCCAGTGAACTGGCTTATCACACGATCAACTGCTCTGCGCTAAATGCTGAGGAATTACGTAGAGAAAGCGGAATTGAGGTAAAAGCAGTTGTGGTAGAAGTTTAACTAGAACTTCTTTAGTCTTCTGTGCTGGTGTCCTAATAGGAAAACAGGGACAACGAGCTTTTGAAAGCCGCCATTTTTATGGACGGAGATGGGAGGAGGCGGGCTCAGATAACAGACCAGCTCCTCTTCTCCCCCTCCCCCCCTTCCCCCCTCAACTGTTTTTTCCTCACCTGTCGGTTCCCCTCTCGGTACGAATTTCTCTTCACCATTCTTCCTCTGATCGAAAATCCGAGATGGTGTTAAAATGTTTCACGAGGTAATACGAAGCGTCCGTTCGCCGTTGTCAGAACTTATCTAGAATGAGTTATTAAAACAACGTGATTCCTCAAAATTGCCCATCATGAGTAAGTTGATTACTTATTATAAAAAACTTTTTTTTGCCCGACTTAACGCCTTTTCATGTCCTGTATCTTTGACTTATTCAGCTGAGCAAACTCTTTCACTTGTAAAGAGAAAAAACATAATTATCTGTGTTAGTTGCCTTGTGAGTATTTTGTTGTAAGCGTTCGGTGAAAAAGGTCTCCTTTTAGTAGAATCTAAATGCTCTTTTAAATAACTAATATTTGCTTGTATTTAATTTGTTTTTTTACCAGGCACTTCAAGAGGCTTATGACCGTTGCTTACTGGCTATTACTGGCATGACTGAACCGAACGCCATTCCAGTCCAAGTAAGTTATTTTACAATACATGTCGTTTCCTCCGCAGTAGGAAAACATTTTTCTCAGTCTTCAACCCTTTGACTCCTAAGAGTATCTAATATCTAATTTCTCCTAACAATATTACCTTCGTATCATACATAAAGGTCACGAGAATATAGAAAATTATCACCAACTAAAGTAGCTCTTGATTGTTAAAAAAATTCTCCTTGACAGCATTGTAGGAAATGTACAGAGAACAGTATGGAGAATATGCATACTGATGTTAGGTTGTAACAAATATCGTAGTAGATTGTGCGAAAACCCATCTTTAAAAAGACTTTGTAGAAACCCTTTCTAGTTTGCGTTAAACTAATTTTCATTGCTAATCAGAAAGTTAGCTACTGCTGTGCGTTATTTTGTAAAGTAAGGATGTTTCCCTTTGTTGTTCTTATTTAGGTTTGCACTCACATCACGAGGTGCTACACAGTGGCAGCCCAGTTTGAAGAGTGCCGAGAGAAGATCACTGAGATGCCAGATGTTATTAAAGATCTTTGTCGCGTCCTTTATTACAGGGTATGAAAAAATGCTGCGTTCAAAGATGGCTCGTTGTCTGTAGTAGTGTCTACTTTATAGTGAATTGCTTACCAATTAGAGCGCTTTTTGATGGAGTGTTGTTAAACCAAAATCAAAGTAATCACAACCCATCAGGCAAAAGGAAAATGTCTTTCAGAGCCAAAGAAACCTTGAAGTAAAATCGACCAATTTGCCAATTTGCGACTAAGTCGTGGTTGGTTTTAGTTTTGCATTTGAATAATTGAGAAAGTGGCGCGAATTTTCTGGACCAATCACAGAACGAATTAATGCAAAAGCAAAGCAATCCCGGGTTCTTTTCAACGCTCAATTTAAAATTATCCTATGACATGATTCAGGTTTGTTAAACCACCGTAGCAAATTTTGAAAGCTGATCTTTGGAGCGTAAGCGCTTCGTCGTAAAGCAAAAACAAAGCAATCACAACAGCCAATCATATCAAATGTTTACGTCATCATTAGCTAATGAGGACTTAAAGTAAAAACAGGCACACTACCAAAGGCGCGAGAAAACGCGGACGACCAAGTTACAAGTGGTTTTCGTTTGGCGTCTGATTGGATTAGAGAATGGCATGAGTTTTGTATACTAATCACAGGCCGAAGTGAAGGGAAATCAAAGCAATCCCGGAATACTTTCAACACTCAATTGAAGACTACTCTAAACTTGATAACCAACTTATAGTAATAGCTTTTTTCTTGGGGCGAATTTGATGTGGGTGTTTTGACCAAAAGTGATAGGGTATTTTGATATTTCACTACGACTAACAGCTGTCATCTTTTCTTTTAGAATCTTCCAGCGCTCAATTCTGTTGCAGCAGAATGTGTCAGTGCTTTCTCTGTGGATTTCTGGCTTCAAACCCAACTATTACAGGTGAAAAACAAAATATGAGAGATGTGAAAGGGATGCGCATGGAGCAGTTCAAAACTGCGGCTATAAAAATATTTTAACGTCTTTGTCATCCTGTCATGTTGCTGTCAAACTTTTTTTTGTATGTGTTTCTTGTGCTTAGCGCCTTACTTGATTAAATTTAGTGGAGTTTCGTGTACCTGACCTGTGGTTTCTCGTTGTAGGCTGGTGTACTGTGGCATCTACTCTTGTTTGTGTTCAGTTACGATTACACACTGGATGAAAGTGGAGTGGAGAAAAGTGCAGAAACCAACCAGCAGGTTTGGAGAAAAGATAAACGCGTTCTGTAATGGCCTTTATTCAAAAATCAACGAATAATTGAATGATTGAACGAAGGATTGTTCAATTAAAAGTGCAAACGAGAAAGCAGAGGGATAGACGGACGCATATTCGCACGCACACAGGCTCGTATACTCGCTCGCACGCACGCACGCTCGGTCGTAAGCACGCACGATATCGTAGAACGAAGAAGCAATCTTTTGAGTCTATGCCGACGAACGAACAACACGATCATTTTCATTTCTTTGTTTACAGGAAACTCTGAACAGTCTTGCTCGTCTGAGCATCGATGCTCTGGCTCGACTGGGAGGATATTTGAGTAAGTAAAACATTCTTCCTCGTTCAGCTAGTTTCTTTCTTTAACAATACACTGCTTTGCGAAAAAAAAAAAGCAGAGATGATCATTGAATCACTGTACCAGAGGGGAGATCCCTCATGTAGATGTTTTAAAGGTCATAGTCGAGTTTCCACTCTACGCTGTCCTACACGGAAAGCTTTCTTTTTTCTTTTACTTTTTTTTTCTTTTCTTTATTTTCATCCTCTTTTACGCAGAGATTAAAGTAAGCGATTCTCCAAGCAGCGTCTGGCAAATGCATAATTTTATTTTCTCTGTTCACTCGCATTCCCTTTTTCTTTATTTTTATCTTTTTTTATTTCTAGTAAACTGCGTGAGAAAGCAGTTCGTATCGAATGAGAAATCAAACAACGAAGTAAACCTTATCTGTTGTATTCTACATTTTTCAGCTGACGAAAATAAAACCCCTGAGAATCCAGCCATACGAAAGTCTTTGTCCAGTATGTTCACACCGTATATCGCCAAACAACTCAGCAATGATAACCCAAAGGAGGTTAGTAATTTAATTATTTCCTCTTATCTGCGATCAGACGTTCTTAGGCACTTCCCCGAGAAAAGGAAGGTGCGATCAAAGGTTAACCTCTCCCAAGATGGCGACGAACTAGACCATGTTATTCCTTAAATGCAGCTAATTTGATCTGCGTCTGATTTACTAATTTAGCCATTGATTAAAGCGGGCTCACCTGACGATTCTGCACAAACCTGATCGAGGGCATTTTCCATCACGAAAACATCGTCATTAATGAGCGTCAAAAATCGAAGTGACGGGCACTCTCGGCTACACTCACCATATTTCGCCGGTCCTGGCGTCATCGTTACCTCCGACATACTAGGCAATAGTCGCTGATCGCTGCGCTATAAGAGTCTGTTACGAATACAAAGTTTAGGTGTGCTACATTGTTCATATCACCCCATCTCACCGAACACGCTTGCTTTGAATTACAGGTGTAAAACTCTAAATTGTGTGTAAGTAGTAAAGTTAAATTTTTTGTTTGTCTTTTTGTTTGTTTTGTTTTTGCATAGATCTTAAAGTTGCTGAACAGTAATACAGAAAATCCTTATCTCATTTGGGATAATGCTACACGTGCAGAACTGACTGAGTTTCTCGAAGCCCAACAACTACGAAAGATCAAGACGGTAACTGACTGATTAAACATCGTAACAGAAACTTGACGATTTGTGCCAAGTACAGCTATCGCTATTAAGCTGTATGAGTTTCATGGAATACTTTCTGCTTGTCGTAAAATTGTCAAAAGTTAGAGGAATACTTCTATAAAGATTCACTTAAATCGAAAGAGGCTACATCGCCGTTGGGTTAATTTGAAAAAAAGTAGCCTAAATTTGTCAAGTGCGTTTTTTTTAGTCCATTTCGATTCTTTCCATCCTTAACCTCGTTCCCAGAGTCCTCCCTCTTCCTTCCACGAGAGAATAGGGTGGACCTTGGGAATTAGTTTACTTGTACGTTTTTGGTTTATTTGTGCCTATTTCATGTTTGTCTACACAAACTACTACTGATCTTGAGGTTGAATTATGAAAAGGCGATTCTCTATCACGCTAACATGACGCAAAACACAATGACGTATCTTCGCCAAGATTTTCAAGCTCGTAGTTTGCAATTCGTGTCAATATCCTCCATCCTTTGGCATCCTTATTGGCTGATACTGACTTCTTAGGTGTTTTGTACCTTAGTAAATCAAGTCATTCTTTTTTTCGCTGAGCGTTTATAGATTTAGTTATATTTGAAAGCTATTTTTCTGCATCATGACAATCACTCGAAAACACGCCAAGCTGGAGACACACCTGACGATTTTCGCCGATCGCCGCAATTGGCGTATGAAATCGCCTGGTGTGTCATCGGCTTCACATATCTACTGTAGACATGATATTGTGTCTCATCTCAACCTTGTTTTTTGTTTGTTTTGTTTTTTAAGGGCGACTGTGATACTTCGTTTGGGGCACGCTTCACCTTCTCAGTTTTCAGTGAAGAACTTATTGTTGGCGAAATCTTTGTTCGTATTTACAACGAGCAGCCTCTGTTTCCACTTGAGGTACGTTCCACACCCCAGAGAGTGTCCACTCAGCCTTTTAACTCCCAACATCCCGTTAGTAATTTTTCCCACTGACTGCCATCCATTCCCACGTAATATAGTCAGAAGAGCTTAGTTTTACATCAAGGTGACACCATCTGGCTGATAAGCTTTTCTGTTCTCGTAACCTGTTTGTAAGATAACATATTGGAATGGCAATGAGAAGTTGCATGTTAATCACCTCTATGCAGGGTTGCGTCGCGTTGAATATGGTTCTTAAAGGCCACATGTAAATGCCGCTTGGTGTAAAAGTTCAGTTTCCTCGTATTCTAGCTCTTCATGATAAAGGTTTTACGGTAGGAACTCAATGGCTTCTAAGAATTTAAGGATTTAACTTTTGTTTTGTTTTGTTCGTTCGTTAATTTTTTTCTTCTGTGTTGCCTTCAGGCCCCATTAAAATTCGCAGCAGATCTGATCGACTTTCTTGGTTCGGAAGCACAGGTAGGGAAACAGCAGAGGAAGAAAAAGTTTCTATGCATGATATCAGATTATGAATCGAAGTTACAGCTAAAACCAAAAAGTATTTTGTGTTCTCTCTTTGTTTCAATGGATGAGCTTTGTAAAAATAGGTACAGCTTCCTATTGGCAAAGGGTAGAGGCGTGTTAAGATTGATACCAAATTTTCAATGGTTACGTGGTGTGAGAAAAGGACTATGGTAAAGGTGATATGGCCTGGGGCATATCCTGTCTGATTTGGTATCTTTTTCTAAAGAAGTCGGAGAGGGAAAATTGGTTAGAAATGTCGATACAGACGATGCTTTTTTTTCTGTAAATAAAAAATAAGTTCTTTTCTATTGGCTGGTTATTTAAACGATGTCCAACTTAGGTCGTGGTTGGGAACAGTAAATGGACCTCAATAGTTGTTAATGAGTGGGTTGTTTGGAGTGTAATCATGTAAATGTTTATCTAATGGTCGACATTGTTTCCAAAAATCAATCTTTAGTGAAAAGTTTAGATAAATTAGAGATGGTTTGGATTGAGGTTTTGCCATTGAAAAGTTAAACATTGGGTGTACCACTTGCCCCAAATGTATTTAAATTTGATTTCATTCAAAATGTTCCAGTTGTTACTTTTCTCAATGTCTCTCGAATAACGATTTGTAATTAACTCTTTTCTTTTTTCATCTCAGTACCTTCATTCCGTTATGGCGTTGACGGCTTCGGAACTGGATCTCAAGAAGAACCAAAAAAGACTGGACGCTAGTGTTATGGCCCTGGAGGCACTACGAAATGTTATCAAGAATAACGCAGGTACAACAGGAGAAAGCGTTACTTGGACGTCACGCAATTGCTCTTAGATGCAAAAAAACGAGTAATACGATTGAATATGTGACCTGGGTGTGCGTATAACTCAGCGACGCTTGCGTGACTAGTTAAAAGTGACGGTTGCGATGTAAAATTTTAATGCCTTTAGTTCGCAACTTCGTATTTCTTTCTACAGGCACCGAAGCTCAATGCATAGGACATTTTAGGCTGATTTTCTCATTACTTCGAATGACTAAAGCAACAAAACTCCAGAAGTTTGCACTTGAGGTAAGGCTGTAAATACTATGTATCTACCCTGAATGTGTACAACATTCGCATGTTAATATCGAGCGCTATACACGGTGTAAGTGTATTGTTTATCAACCATTTTCATTGCCGATGTCAAGTTCTCATTATTTACACGTTTTGGTAGTTCCAGTCATACTACCGTTGTAGCTTTGAGAATCATTGGGAAATTCAGACAGTTTTTCTTAAGGGATGAATTTCTATGGTCTCTCCAGTTTAGAGAAAATTAAGTTTTTATTTTTTTGTTTTCGTATAGGTCATTTCGTGCACAACAGCCAACAAGAACTGTGTTTCCAGTATTGCTGATTCAGACATTCTTGGCTTCTTATTCCTTACGCTCCACACGCTTCCTTCAGGTTATTAGAAAATCATTCTTACTCTCTTTTCTCTGCGCTATACGAAACAAACTTTTTATCGAAGGACAACATCGACATATTAGTGATAAACGACAGAAAAGCACCGTTACTGTTGAGAGTAACTGAAAGAACGAAAATAATTCAGGATGGAGAAGTTCAAAGAAATTCTCAAATAAGTGTCGAAAGTCATCTGGGATTGCATTGGTTTCGCTTTACTCCTCTGTGATTGGTCTAGTAAAAACTCGCGCCATTCTCTCAACCAATCAGATTCAAAACAGAAAGCAGTTACGACCTGGTTGCCCGCGTTTTCCCGCGCTTTAGGCATTTTTCTTGTTTTTACTTTGGGTTCTCATTGGCTCGATAGGGTATTTTCCTTTCTTCTCATTGGCCGTCGTGATAACTTTGGTTTTGTTTTTTACGACACATAATCAAAAAGCGCAATTATTGGAAGACACGTCTATAACAAAGTTAAGAAATAGTAACCATGTCCTATTTGGACTATCTTGGACAAGTTTTAACTCACAGGGAGTAGGCTGAGTAGGCTAGTTCATCTCCAAAAGTTCAGTCATTTTGCGTCAAGTTTATCATTTGAAATCCGCGTCAATCTTTTCAATCCTTTGCAATCCTCGTTCGTTCTCGGGTCATTATTTTCTTTTAAGTGTTTTTCTGTCTTCCACGATAATATTTGTCTTCCCTTACGTTCAAATTTTGCACTTCGCTAGAAAGGACTCAAATTTTCCGTGGTATGACACCTATACTAAGAAGTTAGAATGAAGCTGTAGGTGTCTAAAAATGTCTTCATATGCGCCAGAGTCTGGAACAATTACCATCGAAACAATTCTCATCGATTTGCTTATTTTTTTTCTTTTGTTGTTGTTGTTGTCCTCATTTAGATCGGTTGTTGACTGTTGATACCATGCATGCACTTTGCTCCAACACGAAGATTGTCAAGGAGACAATGCACAAAGGTGAGTAGAATTTCAGCGCTCCAAACTGCGACCGTTTTGGTTTGGTGACAAGTGAAAAGAAGACAGCGAAACTTCAAATTTTGGGTAAATCTCTAAAACCAATTGCCAGTCACAAAGTTCATTATAAAACCAAGGGCATTGCTGAGCAGTAGAAAATGTCTTCACTTTTTTTCTGTCAAAAAATGTTTTGACTACTTCGTGATTCTACGTCAAAACAAATGAAGAGGATAAATTTCTACAGAAACTATGATGCTGCGTTGGAGGGGGATATAACTAGAGAATTTGGTTTTATCCACTTAGTTGATGAGTCAACTGGCCACTGTAGAGAGTTTCTGAAGGTGATGTGTCGAGCGTCAGCCTTCCGTTAAAGAATATAGAATGAATTCGGACAGAATCCTATTCGCTCTTTCGAAGTGTTGGTGGCCAGTTTAGATTATCAACTCAGTTGATGAAACCAAATTACTTTGGAAACTGTTGAGCTTGGAGGTCTGAGGTTAGATATGGCTTCGTGGATGGGGAAGTCATGACCCCCTCATGCTTTGTATATGACAAACTTTAACCATTAATTTCTCTCTTAGGTGGTCTTATCTATCTACTTGACCTGTATACTAATGGTACAAACCCAGTGGTGCGGGAAAGGTCAGCGGAGTTGTTTGCGAAGATGATGTCGGACAAGCTTATTGGACCAAAAGTCAAGATCGTGTTGTCCAAATTCCTGCCCGCCATCTTTATGGACGCCATGAGAGATAGCGCACAAGCCAGTGTGCACATGTTTGAAGGTAAGAAATTACTTGTAGTCCCTAGACAGAGCAGATGCGCTCTCGCCACACCCTCATATTGCGATCAGTCATTTTTTAACTGCTCCTCATACGGTTATCTCGCCCCTCGTGCAAAGAATGCAAACAAACTGTACTGCAGGGCTAAGTAACGAACTCCATCATTCTCTTTGTGTTTGTCTGTTTGTTGTTCAGCAAATCAGGAGAATCCGGAGTTGATATGGAATACAGAAGCCAGAGAGAAAGTCTGTTCGGTGGTGAAAGAGCTTAAAGACAGGTAAACCTAACTGAGTTTTATTCTCGAACCTTAATGAACCTTACATCGCATATTCCTTAGACTTGCATTAACAAGAACAACAGAAGCAACCTTCTTTATTCGTATGAAACTGTTTTTCTGGAAGACAGGACAATGTGCCTTAAAAGCGACATACTCAAAACAAAGGCAGTTCTAAGCTGTCATTCCTTTGTACATGGAAACTGAAGAGACAAGCCAGTCGGGTTCCCCCGTTTAAAAATGAATGTGATGATTATTAAGGTGACATTCTGAAAAGCAGACCCATTCCCTATCCACCTTGGTCGGAAGTCACTGGAAGTAAGTTGCGCAGTCCAACTTTCCAAACATGATTCGGAGAAAAGATTGCGTGACAAGGCTTTAACTCAGCCTTGACATATAGCTTTAGTGCCATGTTGATTGCGTTACTTTTCGTCTTGCAGACATTATCAGGAGCAGAAAGACAATCCCGACATCCAGTGGAAGGTGAGTATTGAGCCAACCTTCGTTTTACATTTAATCACTGGTATGTAGAAATTCTAGAAAGTTTGTTCCGCTTCAGAATTTTACATATTTTCTCTTTCCTTCCACTTTAGCTTCCTGACAACTTCGAAGTGATGTTTGACGAAGCTGCTGGAGAATTAATCGTGGGTGGAATTTACCTCAGATTGTTCATACAGCAACCGGCTTGGGTAAGACGTTTGAATCACGTTCGGTTTGTTGACATGAAAGTCATTTTTTGGGCAAATTACTTTTAAAGGAAGCCGAACTGTGGTTGGTTTACAGTAATCTGACGGGTGAAATTCGTTGAAACTCCCTCTGAATTGTAGTTGGCAGAACTCATGAATTAGGAAAAAAATTGAAGTTTAAAATTACAGTGAAGTGGCATCTAACGTCCAAATCACAATGTATTGTATTTTACGTTAAGAAAGTGTCTTTCTTTCGTTTAGCTCGATGTTGAGTACATTTTCACTTTTACCTCAGGTTCTGCGGAAGCCAAAAGAATTCCTTGTTGCTCTTCTACAGAAGTTTATTGAACTACTCTCAAAATCTTCTCATGTAAGTGTTTCCTGTACCTTCAAATTTTATTTTTAACCTCTTCTCTGATGTGATTCATTTATCTTTTTTTCTTTTTCGTACCTTTATTGTCCTTAATGTGAACCTGTCTGACCACTTGTACATGTATCTTGTTTAACTTGTCTGACTGGTTGAATCTTGCTTAACCTGTTTCAGGGTGAGACTCTGGAGACTGTTACCCAGGCCACTCTATGTCTTTTCACTGCGCAACCACAACTCGGAGACCAGGTATTTCCTAAAAGATTGACAGAAAAGATAACAATTAAGCTCTGGGATATTTTCGATGTTTAGATCTATAAATTCGCATCGTACTCCTGTTTTGTTGATATGTTCGATATTTAGCCATCCACCATCATGGATTTGCTTTTCAGCTTTTCAGCGAGTAGTCTGAAAAAATGCGCAAACTGTGAGCGAGTGTAAAGAAGTATTGTTATCTTTAGGTTCCAGGTCTCGGCCACATTCCTAATTTAGTCAAGGGTATGAGCTCCAGTAATGATGCAGTCATCAAGTCCGCTGTACAAGTGGTTCATTTACTCTCAGCTAATGAGGTGAGGCAGGTTGTTAAGGGTGAAATATCATTTCCCTAAAAAAATCACGATTAGGTACAGAAAAATCGTACCAGATAGTTCACGTGAATCCTGGGAGGATGGCAGGTAGCTGAAACTGGATTTGGCAATCGTCAGTAAAGCAATTCAATGACCGTGTGGATACTGTTCAACTTTGAGGGGATGTTCTTCGCAAAATTCTAGCAGATGAAAAATTTCGCCCTGTTATAGAAGATCCTGAGATTTCGTAAGGGGGAAAGGAACTTGTTAGATAAGCTGGGGTTATTAGAGAGATCTACGTAGAAGTATGGTAACAATAAAGTGTTAAACCGAGAACTATGGGTGGGAATAATGGATTGCCAAAAAATTCTCCAATTGCAGATTTGTGTTCGAAGCATGGCCCAGGTGACTGATTGCATCAGTCACGTGATCAAAGGAATGGACGCGAGACCAGATGTAGTGGGATTGGCTTGTGAAGCACTCCACAGAATGTTCGAAAAGAATCACACAGAGCTTGTTGCGCAGGTAACGAAACTGAGAAATAACTCCCAAGTCGCACAAGAGGTGTTATGACATACTGTGTAGATCTGATTTCAAAATCAGTGGATTAAACTCCAACCTCGTTTTGAGGCTCATCTCCCTTCTTTCCTCGAGCAGGAATTTAATTTAACATAATTTAACATAATTATTATTTTTTACATAATTTAACACAGTTGGAACCCTGGTTATGGCTAGTTACGTGCCTATAAAGACAAAAGAACGCTGTTGAGAGGGTGGGTCCTATCAGCGGAAGGGACCAAGCTCGATTGCTTTTTAAACCGTTTCCCCAACTCTTATTTTAATTACGGATAAAAATTTTACGAAGGAGCACCTCCTTTGGATTTTTTGTTATCTCGCAAATTCTCGGACACACGTGACCAGCAACAATTAAAATCCTCTCTCTTCCGTGAGAAAGATAAGAAGATTCTGGGAAAGAGGTTAGATTTGACTCTAGTGGTTGACCATTGATAAGAAAGCTTCTGTAGAGTACTTTCAAGTGGCCCTGTTTATCATGCAGTGCAAAGGGGCTAAAATGTTACGTTTGTGGCTAAAACTCTAGTGTGCTACCATTTTATTTAAAGCCACTAAGACGTGCTTCCATGTGGTACTGTTTATGAACCCTCTACGCCTTAAAATCAGTATGCATATTCTCCTTACTTTCCTTTATACGTTTCATAAGGTGCTGACAAGGAGAATTTGTTTTATTCAATTAACAACCAACAGTTTTAGCTGGTGATCATTTCCTTTATTCTCATGACCTCTATGTTTGACTCATGGGTGATATTATAAGGAGAAATTAGATGCTGGTCACTCGTAGGGGTTAAATGGTTAGGCTATTTAAGCTGTTTTAGCTTTATATGTAGTCCTCGGGTGAAACCCTCATGTGACCGTTGAAACGAAAGCTCCGGAGCAGCGGTTTCTCTGAGTGAAACCATGGTATGCGGCGTCGAATGAAGGTTTTAAGGGGAGTATCTCTCTCTGCCTGAGATTAAAACTAATTTGTTCTCCTTGTTGTTTACTATATTTTCCTGTTTAGGCGCTCAAATTTGAGTTAGTCCAGTATCTTTTAAACCTTCTGAACGGAGCGCTCAAAACTGTAGAGAATCCTGCAGCCACCAAAGCTCAAATTGTCAAGGCTCTGAAGGCGATGATACGTGACTTGACCCACGGCGAGGAGGTAATATCCGAAAAGAAAATCTTTCTTTTTGCAGGGTGAATTTTTTTTATTACAAAACCACTTAATGTTACTGTGTTATTCGTGATAACTTAGTAGTGTCAGGTGAGTTAGAACTATGTCTGAGAAATGCCAAATACTGCTTTGCTATTGGAGAAAGAAGAGGCTGTGTAGGGATTAGCGAATTCATTGTTTCAGTTAAAGTTTGATTTTATTCTTCTTTTTTTTGTCCTGTTACAGATCAACAAGATTCTGGAAGCTTCCACAGTGTGGGCCTCGTACAGAGACCAGAAACACGATCTATTCATATCGGACAAACCTGTGGCTGGCTACCTGACAGGGGGCGCTGGAGTTGCTGGGTACCTGACAATGGGCTCTGGCAATGCGAGCACCATGTCCAGCGTGCCCCCGCCTGTGGACCGAGTGGAGAATGGTAGTTGATGTCACGTGACATTGGATGGTGCCAGTCAATAGTTAATTAGGCAGGCTGTGTTTACTCGAGCGTGACAGAGGATACTTTGTACTTCCTACATCACCAAAACCATTACAAATGTCAAAGTTTTTTCATGAATTATTTATTATATTAATTTTTGTTCATGTTGCGAATTCTTATCCAGATGATTTACAAACTTTTTCCGAATGGAAGGCTGTTCGCAGTTTTCGTAATTGATACATTCAGCTAGCGGATTTTACAAAATTTTGCAACAGAGTTTCGTTCAAGGAATCGTGTGTTTACTGCGTTTTTCAGCTGTTAGCACAACATAATTTTTTTTTCTTTTTCATGTATAAACTTTCGCCGCAATTCTGAAAATTCTCTTCCTTTTTAACTTTCACATATCCTTTTAATTCCACTCTAGGCAACTCGCGATAGAATCCCCGTAAACCTTCTATACTTTGGTGATTGTATGAAGGGCTAAAGGACACATTGCGTGACTCACGGTAGGAAACTTTTGTGCGTCACGCCGCATTCTGGCACGCTCATTCGAACACAGCCTTTTATTAAGAATTAACGCAAATATTCTTTGGTGATAAACATTGCAATTCTGCACAAATCCAATCGGGTTTGTCGAAGCCAGTTTCCAAATTTAGATTCATTCGAAAAATCCATGTTTCGTGATATTTTATTTTAACTGAAAATGTCGCAAAGAAGGCTTAAAAACATGTTATTCAAGTCGAAGTAGATCATCTGTGGCGTCGATTTGCGTTTCATGTTGTTGAAATATTTACGGGTAGCCAGAAATAAGTACAAATTAAGAAACAAATAATTTATTTTAATTTTCACAGAAAATAAGTGGTTATAGTTCTCTCTCATTTGGTAAAGTCACGAAACAAGGTCACGTTTAGCTCATTAACCCACAGGATCGTTTAAAAATTCCCTTTTCCAACAGCCACACATTTTCCCGGAAATGGGCGAGGAGAATTTAATATGTTATCACAGCTGATCAGTTTGTTAATTCTTATCACCTGTTTTCTGGGTAAGGAATTGACCTTGCTAGCAGAAGCTATCTGTATCACTTCAACTAGTTTAAGCGATCACTCAGAGTAAACCACAAGGTGACTAATTCAAGAAATTAAGATTTAGGTACATTCTGTGGTAATGTTTTCCACTTCGCCCTGTATTTGGAAAATCGAAAAATTGCCCTTTTTTTTTTTTGTAAAACTTTGATATTTTCAATGTGATTAGAGAGATTTGAAATTGCTAGCCAGTTCTTTTAATTGTAGCATGCGAGATTTGTGACTTATAGCAAAATCTCAAACCAGGAGAGAACATAGGCAACGAAATTTAAAGGTTTTCTAAAATGTTTGCAAAGTTGCTGCGAATCCAGTCATCCTAAAAATAAGACATTAGATCTATCATTATTCAGTTGAATAAATGACCAGTTAAAACGCTCGTAAGCGCGGGAAAGTGCATAATAAGTTGAGTAGACCTGCGAGAGAAGCAAATTTTCTGTGGAAAATGATTCACCAGTAAAAAACAGTGTTCTTTTGTTTTACCGACACTAATTAAATTGGACGTTAATTCGGTAAAATTAGGTCAATGTATTATAGCAGAAAAGTAGAACTGTCTTTTTTATTCTAAATAGATCTAAGTCGAGAAATATATTTTAAAAAAAATGGCATGATTGTTTGAATAAACCATATTTGGAAATTTTTCTTTTGTTGTTCATTCGCTACGTAGTCTCTTCGAACTGCCTTTTTGCAGCAGCAATTAATGGCCAATTTTGGGTTTTAAGCATGAAGTAATAGTACCTACATTTCTGATGGGGAGGGGTATCGAATCTCGAATCCCCCGAACCTCACAGTTGTGGAGCATCAGAGCGTGAAATCCACATATTTGACGATTGAAACTTCATGGGGTCTCAGAACTTTTTTTCTTTAATTTGTCCCCTGCTCGAAGCGAGACGAATGAACATCTTCCTCCACAACCTTCACATCCATTTTGTTTCTTTTATTGTTACCTATTATTAGTCGTAACCCTTTGGAATACTGTACCTCGATACGCCTTTGGGCTGGTCTATTTGTCGATAAAAAGTAACTCAGTGCCCATGTTGCTCTATCCATGTGCGATTTTGATTCATTTTGCGTACTTTTAATCCTATTTTTCCTTCATGGGAGAGTAACAAAGCTTCAATTTCTTCTTATTTTTCCTTCACCGGTGTATTGCAGTGTGTCATCATCATCTTTACGTTCTTTTTGTTACCCTTCCTTCGTAAGAGCGTAACAAACAATTATTCGTTTATTCACGCAATTTCAAATTGAGGCCTTCAATATTTCTTAATTCCTTAATGAGATCTTATGCTTTTTATGATATCAGTCTTGCAATTTAGCTCTTTTCGAATGTCAGAGTAATTTCCTGGTCCTATAGCAGTTCCTAACATCCGATTTCTGTGATCTTTTTCCCCTCTTTTTGTATGCTAATCAGTCTCTCACAATGCCTTTCACTGAATAGCTGGCTGAGCGTGCAAACAGAACTCCGTGCCAAATCTGTGACGCAGCGGCCGTTTATTGGCTGCAGTTGTTGTAATCCATATTCATTAGAAGTTGTACAATTTTCAGCAAACAACGCTGCTCCTCGTACAGTGAAGACGTGCTTAAATTTTGGTTATGCAAAGACACTGGACCGGTAAAGAAGAGAAATGAAAGCACTCTTATGTTACTACAACAGCAGGTGAGCATTGTCTTTGGAAAATGTCGCCTTGAGCTCATTAAGAGATGTAAACCAGTCGTATTATCTTAGTTCAGCACGAATCAGTTGCCCGGTCTGAGTGGCTCTTCGACTCGAAATTCGACCGAAATAGGGTATTGACAGAAACATAATTGTAAAATATTGTTGGTGAAACGCTCATATAAAAATGTTTTGCTTACTAAATCTATTGGGGACTTAACATGATCATTTTGTATTTGAATGCAGCCACGTGGAAGTGTGAAGACTCTTCTACTCAGTGTCCTTTGCTTTAACTATAAATAACATTTAAAAAAAGTTTTAGATGTTTTCCCTTTGTTATAATTGTGGCAAATAGCAAAACAATTTTACTGAATTTTGTTTTTTAGTTTTCTTCCTCAAAGAAAGTAGGCATTCCCTGATCACATTCATATTTTCTTCTTTCACAGGAAGAGCAATGTTGTCAGAAGGATGGAAGAACGAAGATTCTAGCCAAGAGATGACACTGGAATCAAAGACTTTTTCGTGGATACTGCAAAGATAAGAACTTTTAAATTATTCAGTAATACTAGCAAAAATGGAGGCTTTATGTGTTTAACTATTTTACTAAATCTACGTTCTTTCACCAATTGTCCTAGAATCATGAATAAATGTTTAGTGAATAGCTCTCAATTAGCTACCATTTTTGGGACAGTTTATCTACCATGCAGACCCTGAGCGATCATTTGATTTATGTGAACTGCCAGCTATAATTTGGTGTAATTTCGCTCCAAAAATCTGAAACAATCTTCGAATTTAAGACAGAAACAACTAGAAACCGATATAATCCTGGCCACGGAAAACTGACATTTGAATTCTTATTTCAAGGCTCTGATCGCTCATTGTTTCTGGTTTGTCTAACAGTCAGTATCACACTTACACCCAAGTTAAAATCACACAGAGAAGGTATTAAGGTGGCACTGTAACAAAATTCTTCGGCCGAACAAAGACCAACTGGAATTCAAAATTACAATTTTAAGATGAGTTTGATTGATTTTGCGTATTTTCTTTGCCTCAAAAATCACATTGCTGAACACCATCAGATTACAAGTTCCTCAAAGACTGACTTTGAGAAAGCTCGTTATTAGGTTAGAAAGGACACTTCGCAACAGATACATGAATCGTCGGCACCTTACAAACCACTTAAAAGAAACGCGGTCACCAACGCACCAAACAGAACAAACTAACCTTACAAATCAAACTACAAAACTGACCTATCTAGCTTTGCAAACCAGAGTCATAATGTTGGAATTATAAACAATTTTTCACTCGACTTATTTCGACCACAAACCTCTCACCCGGACGATCGTACTTTACGACTGGCAACTGTGTGACACCAAAATAAAAAGTTGGCTAAAAACATATCAATTCAACAGCGAATTCATTTTTGGCATGAACTGTATTTAACAGAAAATTTTGGAACTTTATTAAAAAAAAAGTAAGGATTTTTTTCCAAACACGAAGAATTTAGCACAGTGCCACCTTAAATTACATCCGTTACTTTGTGACATCAACTAAGTTTGGTGAACGTTTGGAAGTTATATGTATTTTAAGACACTAATGCCTGGTCACGAGTACTTTCAAGAAGCTGATTAAGCTGAAATTCAGCTTTATATGAACCAGTTGAAATTAACTCCTTTTCAAGACGGAGAAATATAAATTTTCATATTTCGAGAATAGTTTATTCAATATAAATTAAGATGCTGTATTGTTTCGCAAATCGTTAAGAAATAGTTTATAGATTGGATGAAAATAAACGTGAACATACAAGCCAATCGTTTGACCAGTAAACAATAACTAAGGAAATCACAATCGTATTTACTCATCACGATTTCAAACTTTTATAAAACACAATAATTTTCCAGATAAACGTTGGAATCAGAAATGCAAATCAAACAAAATAAGAGAATTTGATAGTTAACCAAATCAAAATGCTTTCATAAATAAATGACGATTTTAATGGAAACTCAAGGAGTTATAAAAATATATATTTTTTATTTTCAAATTGAAATTTTCACAGAAAACAGTTTGATTTTACGAAAACGAAGCGTGAGCCAAAATGCAAAGAGATCGTTGCCATTTTGCTGTTTATATAAAGTTTCTTCTTTGGTACAAATTTTTTACGTAGTCCACGTTTACAAAACTTGTGAATTAAAGACTCGTTCAAAGATAGGATCACTTACTACCCTTTGGACCAGGCACTTGGTTTTAAAATATATCATAGTTTAATTACTTCTTATTGTAAGTGGAAAGAAGACCGTTTGTGCAGTTATTCGGTGTAACACAGGAATACATAAAAGAAAACTGATCAACAAAACTATGATATTTTGATCGTCAAATTCAGTTTACAATTACAATAAAAACAGGAATTGAACGTTTAAAAGGACTAAATCTCCCAGGAAAATTAACCCCAGGAATTCATCAAAAATAGCTTGGGGCCTAAATTTAATTCTGGCCAAATAGAACTCGAAGAGTCCGGCTCCAATAATTACATTTCTCAAATCACTTGTCGAACCTCGGAACATAATTATTAAAA